GGACCAGGAGGTCGGCGATGTGTCTGTCACTGAGTAACCGCGGGAGCCCGGCAGTATGTGCGCGTGTCGGTTAATCTTTACATCGATCAAGCGGCTGCTGGGGGGGGGGGGGGGGGGGGGTGCATTAGGAGTGAGGGAGAGATATGGACACATGAAAAAGGAACTGCTTTAAACGGCCCAGGTGGAGCTCATCTGAGTGTGACAGGTTTCCATTCAGATGCCGACAACTTACTGAACGTGATCACCGCTCAGAAGCAGCTGCTTGGATGGATGATACATAATGGATGAATTATTTTCATCGTTGGAATCGCACCACATATTAGCAAAGGTTCTGAGCAAAACACACCTAAAGATCTAATATTTTGGTTTGAAATGTTTGTCATAATTGTCCTTTTTTTTCTAGAGATCAAAAGATACATGTATATAAATATATTTTGGGGATTGGGTTGTGTTTTTCCTCATACTTCTTTAAGTTTAGCCTGTTTAGCTTGCTTGCCTAAAGCACCCTCTGCTGGATCATATAGTAACTACATAACAAGCTGCCTGGAATGGCAATTCTTTCTTAAAATTCTTTGCTTGGAGGGTGTGGTTTTATTTTTATTGCTTACATAGGAGTTAGCTTAAAGGCAGTCTGAATATAATAGGAAAAAGGTTTTAAATGTTTGGCGATTAGATAAAAGATAACCTTACATACAGTACATCAAGTAACAAAAACAACCAAAAATACAACAAAATGACTCCATGTACTTATAGTAAAATGTAGATTAAAAAGTCAACTGAAATAAAACTTGAGAGGATGACTAAAAACGTAGGCAATAGAAATTATTCCAAAAATATTTTGTTAAAAATATTTTTTTAAAAATCCCCAAAACAACCCAGGACTGTTCAGAACAGACACAAGCCTGCAGTTATTCTTGTCCCATATATTTACTTGTTTCAGATGTCTGTACAAGCTTCAGGGTCAAATCTGAAGCGACAGTCCGTCTGAGTGGCAGACCTTCAGCCTCTGGCTTCTCCACAGAAGTCTGTCTTTCCTCTGAGTGGCTCACGGTGACTGTCCTCCTCTCCTCAGCAGGAGAGGCTGGCAGATGCAAACCCCCAGACACTCAGACAGAACCTGATAAACATGATGGCTGATTACCATGGTTGGTAAACAGTAGCGTTCATTTTCCCCGAAGAGCTTTTGAGGAAGCAGAGCTATCAGTCTAGCTTGTCAAACACTCAGTCATCACTCGCTGCGAGGCAGAAACCAAGCGTCTGTGCTCCTCTGCTCTGCTGGAGCCAAGTTCATGTAAATGCTGGTATTTCATAAATTCAAGTCGCTCACAGCAGAGCAAAGGCTGGAAAATGTCAGAGTGACATGCTGCGTCTCAGCGTTTGTTCAGCACAGTGCCAGGAAAGAAAAAAAGTGAAGATACTTGTGAAGATCTAATGACGTTGGCTGTCAATTGCTTAGAAAATGTTTTTCTTACTCAGGGGTGTCAAACTCCTGGCCCAGGGGCCACTTCTGGGCCACGACTACCATACATGTCAATGTTCATTACATTTTGTAATATTTATGTTTTTTTGTTGCCATGTGAACCTCATGGGAATTGAACCTTAGGACATAAATACATGGATAAATAATTCATTGGCCTTCAGTTGAGTTTAGTCCTGGAGTCTTGTCTCCTGGATGTTGACGTTCCATGAGAAAAAGCAAAAACATGAGCAGGTGTTACTTCAGCCTCTGACATCCAGAACCTGTGAATGTTGTGTCTGTTACGAGAGACACACACAGAGACGCAGCAGGTGCAGTAGGGGTTGTTTTTTTTTTGTTAAAAAGATGTGAGACGCGTGTTTGTGGAATATTAAAGCAGCCCCTGCTGTTGTCTCTAATTAATTAGCATTCAGAGCAACCGTGTGAACCTCGTTGCCAAAGTATGTGAAGTGCTGAAAGAAGGCGTGTTTCAGTGGAAGTGAAGCTTTTACTTGGTGTAAAATGGAAACAAGTGTGAGGCAATGTCATCCTGTCCACTGTTGCCTAACCTGGTGCTCGGCCTGTTGACATTGAAGTCTCTCTGTTGTTGCGTGTCATCACACTGTGGGCACTGTCATACCAGGCAAATGCTGGGTTTTACTGGAAACTCTGAACCACAGTTAAACCAGTCGACCAGGAAAAGAAAAAACACAAACAAATCTTCCTTTCCGTCTTTTGTGGTTCGACACTTTAGAACGCTCCAGTTGTGTCTGTCTTATTGAATGATGTGGAGGACATTTTTTTGGATGAATTCTGACAACCCTCAGGCCAGGATGAAGGATTATCGTTGTCCAGGAGTGACTGGAAAATCTGACATAATAAAGGATTCAGCGCTACCGCACAGTGGAAGAGTGGTTAGTGCTCCTGCCTTACAGCAGGAAGTTTTCTGGTTTCGTCTCCGTTCTTGTCGGTTGTTTTTGTTTTTTTTTTCTTGTATGAATTTCATGTTGACTTCGATTGGTTTTCAATGTTTTTCTTCAAATTTGGGCAGAGCTGATTCTGTTTTAACTATTATGTAATAGTTAAAAAACAGACAGTTTTGAATCAAATCAACAGTTTTGATCAGTGTGTTGTGGAGAATGGAGGGATTTACACCTGGAAATCTCTCTGTCTTTCCGTCACATCAGACAGTTTTGAATCAAATCAACGGTTTTGATCAGTGTGTTGTGGAGAAGGGATTTACACGAGGAAATCTCTCTGTCTTTCCGTCTTTCCTCCGTCTTTCCATGTGTTCCCTACATGGAATTTTGGTTTCCTGCTTTCGCCGACATCCAATCTCTTCACTCTCAGCATCCAGGATTTGGGCTCTAGGCCAAGTCTGATGTGTTTTGTCATAGTTTTTGACTCCTAGGAAAATCAACAAGTTTATCGATGACCTTTTAACCTCTCCTGGAGGCAACAAAACATTTCTGAATTCTATTAAATTATGAACTGCCTCTGATTTGAATACTGAGTCTAAATCAGATAAGATTTTACAGACGACAATTTCATGTTTGTGTTTCCGCATGGGGGCTTGTGTTGGAGAAATTTTCATAGTGTGATTTCCCTTTTAAAATCAGGCCGATGTTCCAGTGCGGGGGGGAAACGTGCTAAAGGAAGAAGTGTCAACAGTTCCTGTTCAACACTTCCCTTCTCCAGAGAAAGGTTAATGTCAGCGATAGAGAAGGCGTCCATCTCTTCGTATCTACAGCTCATTCTTAAACCTCTGCTCAGACAGATTACACTGTTGTTGTTAATATAGAAGCTCGAGCGACCCACGGAACAACTGCGTGGACAAACACACGTCCCCACATCCTCCACAGGGCTTGTGTGTGCTCAGCAGATTCCACAGATTTCTGACCCGTGTGGAGATTCTTCTGGAGCCCTCCTCCCTCCTCCTGCCACACGCTCCCTCTACCCGTGACCCTGCACAGGGGCATCTGCTGTAACAACAGCCAGAGCATCTCGATGCTAACGTGATGATTCCAGCAAAAACAAAACACTATTTTTCTCTTTCCTGATGATAATATTCTAGCATCACGGGGCTAAAGTGAAGACGTGAAGCTCAGCTGGTTTGTTCTAGCCTGTAGGAGTAGGAAAAGGTCAGTGGTGCAGATTTACTGCAGCTAAATTAAAGTCTTTGCATGTGACATTACAAGTGTCTTATAGGACCCTGGCTTCAGGCTCTAATGTTGGGGACTGTCCCCTGTGTGTTGTTCCGTCTCTCACTGACGGACAACATTGTCCAATCTGGTTAACAGTGACTTTAAAAATGAGTACTTCCACAAAAGAAGTACCTGAAACTAGTAATCTGATTCTCTTACTTTTAAACCAAGGCAGAAGTAGACGGCCTCGCCCATGAAGCTGAACCAAAATATATTGGATTTCTAAGAAGAAAACATCTATTTATCCATCTATCATTAGCCTGACTTGTACCTAGGACAAGGAAGGCATCACTGGCATCACAGTATTAGTTGGTTAGTTATTGGATAGTGTCGTGGTTATTCTGGTCAGTGGATGAGTGCACATGTTGACCAGACAGGCTGCACACCTCATCTTTATTATTATTATTATGATCATTGTTTCTGGGCTTGTGTAATTCAGTCAAACCATTATCAGTCACTGCTGTCACCAGGGTTTTTTCTTTTGCGTCAAAGGCCTCCGGTAATAAAACGCCCAAAGTTTCTGAATTCCAGCTGATTTGAAGTAGTTTTTATCAGTTCTCCTCATGACAGGCTCCTTCTTTAGAAAGTGACTCATTAGGTGTTGACGTCTTTATAGCCGTGTTTCATTGTCTATGAGACGACAGGAGGCGTGCAGGGGGAGCGTCGGGTCAGATTCAGTCACACTGACCGATCATCCTGACTCCGACTTCTTTGATGACAAAGTCAGGTCAGTTCCCTCTGCTAATTTCAGACTATGCTTCATCCATGCAGCGGAAGGGAGGTTTCTAGATTGAGTTTTTTTTTCCCTGGATTACAATTTAGCTCCAGCTCATCTTGCCATCTCAGAATACGCCAGGACCGGACTGGGTCCACGGGGCTGATTGCAGGCAAACGCCCAGCCTCTATTGTCCTCGTTGGAGTCTGGAGCTAATATGGCTGCAGACTGCACCCAGCCCCTTCCTCTAAAGCCCCCCCGCTCTAACTACATTCTCCACAAACCTTCCCAACAGAACTCCAATCACATGCCTCAAAGGCTCTCTTCCTTCCTGGATAGCGTTAGCGGTCACATTGAGTCGAGCAGCAGCTCCTGTTTTCTCACGACTTTAAAGAACACGCTGCAGGAAACATCAGCATGCAGCAGCCACCTGCATGTTCAACCTGGGCTTCATATTCATGGTTAACGAGTCACAGGAGCTTTCTGTCATTTTTGTGCCACTGGTTCTGCCTGAGCAGACTAACATGGTGGGGGTGTTATTTTAAAGGGCGTGGGTTTTGGTTCAACTGGATATCCACAGTGAACGTCATGTTCTAACAAACAGTTTTTCTTCTTCACTTGTCAGGAGATTTGCACCGAACTGCGGCCACGGTTGTGTGTGATCCAGCGAGGGGCAAATGGATACGGCTTCAATCTGCACAGCGAGCGGGCGAGACCGGGGCAATACATCAGAGCTGTGGACGAAGACTCCCCAGCAGAGAGGGCAGGCCTGCTGGCAAAGGACAAGATAGTACAGGTACTTCAATGAGTACATGACAGAGAACTCTGATACTTCACCGGGCTGAGGTATCAGAGTTCTATTTCCAGATGTGTTAGATTTGATTATGTAACAGTGTCAAGAGCCAACTGTGCATGAAGATGAAGGGAATGCATTGTCTTCATCTTTGGTAATGAAATCACATTAAAATAATGCGTGCATTTAAGGCCAGATAAACACTTTTTTTTATTGTTAATGGTTAAGGTAATTGTTACTAGGCTGTATATGGGTGCTGAGCAGAAAACATGAACAATAATATTTTGCCGTAGGAGAATTTGATGAAAGACAAATAAATATTGACTGGATAAAAAAAGGAAGATTCCAAAGGTTTATTGTCATATAAACAGAAGAGAAACATTTTCTCTGAATAATTCAATTCTTACTTTGTAGCTTGCAAAGAATGTCGAGATGTCAAAGACGTGAACAAGATAAAGAAAACAAACAATGAGGCAATTAGAGCCAGTCTGAGAAAAATACATGAAAATACAAACGGAATATAAACAGAGAAGGAGAAAAAAAAGGACAGAGTCAATAATGACACGACTGTAAAAACTACTGAATAAATATAATTGAAACATAATCAGTGAAGAACTGGAACAGAATGTTCAAGAAGGAAATGTAAAAATAGCAGAGAAAACAGATAGAACTGAGCCAAAGAAAGATATCTGAGAGAAAGACCAGACATCTGGACATCTGGACACACCAGCTGTGTCTTTTCCTTGTTTTAAGTAGGTAAATAATGACTTTTAAAACTTGAAATTATTCAACCATGTACCTGATGATACACAACAATATCTCACATCCTGTTTGGTCGATCTCTCACCATGACTACAGTAATGTGTTTGGTAGAAGAATAGTGTGACCTGTGATCAGACCTCAAGGACATTCTTAGGTAGTTATGTAATGATTAAACCCTGGGAGACAAACATTTCCTGATTTTTTCTTTTTAATAAATCAATCTATCGACACCCAGTATCAGTAAAGGTTCTGAGTGCCCTCTCTGTCTGATGTTTTTGGAAGACCTTCCATGACCTTTTGCCGACATGAACACAAACCTGGGCGTTCTCACGACTCTGCATCGGTTCTGGGACTTTTTCCCTCATAGCCGGGTGTGTGTGTATAAAAGCATGTGATGAGGAATCAGTCGGTGTCCGAGGTCATCAAGGCTTCCAGGGAATTCCGTTGTGACTGTAACCGCTGAGCACACTCACAACGAAACAAATCTGAGCAAAACAGTTAGCTAAAATTCAAAGACTGATGATAAAGTTAGAATTTTTTTAAACAAATTAGCTTTTAAATAATTTCAAATCACTCCAAAATAGGTTTTATTTATCTATGTGAAATGTTTCCTGTGTAGTTTACATCGACAGATTCCATTTAGATTCCCCCATTTGAACATCATGTTGACTTTACCCAGCAGACATTTTGGTCACATGATCAGGCCACAGCAGCACACATTGCTCCCATCAGTCCCTACCTGTCCCCGGCCGCTCTGTCTGACTCTGAGAGTCAGCTGTACAGATTAAAGGATGAAAGGAGACGGGACGAGGCGAAGAGCAGAGTGGGATTAAGACCAAAGGTCCTTAGATCTGTGTTGGTCAGAGTCTTGTGAGGAGTTTCTGCTCCCCCAGTGGGCCTCAGACTGCCACGCCACCCACTGAGAGGCCGGGCTTTGTCTGGAGCGGGCCACCATTGTTACTACTATTACTGGCCAGGATGCTATTGTCCAGCTTCCTCTGCAAGAAGACCGACTATGATGTGGTGGTCCACCCTCTGACAGCCCCTCCAAAACACACACACACTCGCTCAAGGATTTTAGTGACAGTCCCTCCCAAACACACACACACACACACACTCGCTCAAGGATTTTACATTGACTTCCATGAGTTTTAAGAGTCCTTGAATCTAACCCTGGAACAAAGTGAGGCTGAAATGACTGTTGGTCTAATGACGATGTTTTGATTTATCCTCCTAAACTGAGGAGGACCAGTGAGCAGTGAGCAGTGAGCAGTGAGCACCCACATACACAGGGGTTGTTTCTAAGGGAGTGCCAGTGAGCAGTGAGCACCCATATACACAGGGGTTGTTTCTAAGGGAGTGACAACTGCAGACATTTCTGACATGTTTTCCCATGGAGGTTTTATCCAGTCGCGCCCAGCTGCTGTAGAGCATTCTGACATGAGTTCCCGTGGACCAGAAGGACGCTGAAATACCAAGTCATGTGTCAGAGATTTTATTAAAATGTTTGGTTTTTTCTGATGTTAGTTTTACACTGATTAGTTCAGTGTGTTTAAGCGTGTGGGTTTTTGTGTGGACACACAGGATTTCCTGTCCTGGAGCCTCAGGCAGACAAAGAGAAAATAATGAGATGAAGTTCCTGACATTGAGACAATGTTTTTAAATGTCTGTAGGAACAAAACTGAGAATAAAACAAATAATTACCTTTGAAGGATTTTCTCTCACTTCTCTCACTTTCCACAAATCCTCAGGTGAATGGCGTGTCGGTGGAAGGGAAGACACACTCACAAGTGGTGGCTGCCATCAAAGCTGGAGGAAATGAGACCCGTCTGCTGGTGGTCGACCCAGAGACAGACACATTCTTCAAGAAATGCAAAGTGACTCCTACCTTGGACCATCTGACCGGTGAGAGGAAACACACGCCGCATCCTTTTGGCTAAACACTAGAAACACTGCAACGTTCCTTCAAACGACAGCAGTCTGCCAGGAATGTAGTACCGGAGTTAATTCAAAGTCATTTAAACCGCTCCAAATGCAGCTGGATCCTTGTTGATCCTTCTGTTTCCTGCAGATTTATTTCCGTCAGACTCCTTTACTATCTCCTGCTTTATTTCTCTGCCAAGAAACACAGACAGACAGAGGAGACGGAGCCACTTCCTGCCCCCTCCTCATGTTCACGTCCTGTTCAGAAGGTTAATCTTAAAGGCACAAAAAAGAACGCACATGGATCAGGTCAAGATGAGCAAAAGTAGAGTATGTAGGAATTCACTCAAAATAAAATAAATATAAACAATGTTCAAAGTTATTTATAAACCAACACATGAAGTATTTGGTTCCAGTTTTTGGAGGTAAAGGGACGATTGATGCAGCATTCCACACCACGAGAAGACAGCGATAGCTTAGCTGCTAAGGCTCTGTAGGGTAAATGTGCTTAAGAGGATTAAATAGTTATTATATAAGTTACAAATTTAAATTTATTGTGTTCACTGTTTGTTATAAAAATAAGTAACTCAGTTAAACGTATCATTTTCCCATCAAAGAGTGAAAAGTTGAATCATTTTTTTGTCATCCTGTAATGTAGTTGTGTTAACTGGTGTGTCTAACAACCCTACCACTAGGGGGAGTCCTAACACTGTCTGTTCAAGATCAAGTGTGTCAGCACAGGGAGCCACCGTAGTCAGAGTCCTGCCATGTAAAAATAACGCTGTCTGATGTTGGCACGGTAACGGCTGTTGTCGGAGGGAAACCCTGTGTCCAGGAAATACTCAAGTGTCAGTTTAAAGTTCCCACCGTGGACCGTGTTTGAGAAACGCACGGAGACTTAATAAGAACAGGATTCACTGAAATGAGACATTAGTTCTCATATACTCCGTTAGCAGATTCTGTACATCTGTTCATGTCTTCTGTAGTAGAACGTGATCCAAACACAGCGTCCACGTCAACCTGCCACTAAGGCCCCTATTGGTGGGTCGAGCTGTCAGTCAAAAACTTTTCACAGCTTCACCTAAAAGCCTAAACCTTCAAAACTGTCTACGTTTGTAGGCAATTCTGAATCTACAACATAGGAAGAATAATAACAAATAAAAAGTGCTTCCTTCTACATCTTCAGAAAATGTGATAATGAGTTGATGAGGCCTTTTCCTTCCACATCTTCAGAAAATGTGATAATGAGTTAGAAATGGACCGCCTCCTCTGATGACCTGGTCGTCAGTGTCAGTGTTTTTTCAGAAGCGTGAACATTAACCTGTCGTTTCAGTACAGTATCTGAGAGACTTCATGTAATTTCTCCCGATGTGGTTCAATGTGTCCGTAACCAGAGAGATTCCACTGAGGTGTTACCCAGGTAACTGCCTGCACTTCACATGCTGCCCACTCAGCGGGCACCAGCCCACACTGAGTCTGTGACCAACACTTGCAGCACGTTTGTGCTGTTTCCTAGGAGCTCACTCCAAGTGGCCTCTTAGGAAAGAGCTAGAGCCGAGTTTGGACCTGGAGAGGCTCCTCTTAAAGTCAGGAGTGACACACACACACACACACACACACACAGTAGTCCAACACTGTATTAACCAGCAGGACCAGCTGCTTTCTCGTGCTTCAGCTCATTAAAGGCCATAAAGACTTTTCAGCTGAGGATGATAGAGATGGAAGGTAAGAGAGGTGTCACGCCTCCGTGGTGATGTCTGTCTGCAGCCGCCACTGTCCTAAATATGACAACATTAGTGGAGATGTGTGTGGAGAGGCTGCAGATATCTGATAGGCAGAAGGTCTGAGGTTTCAGCTCAGGAAGCGGGACAGGGGAGGTGATGTGCAGAGGTCCACCAGGAGCATCATCTCACAGAAGATGAACCACGTGTGAATAATAGATAAGCTGCTCATACCTGGGCTATGTAACAGAGTAGATGCCGGTTGGAATGAAAGGTGAGCTGCAGAGAGAAAGACTCTTGATCTGACGGAGCGCGGCTCTCTGCTCCGATGGTGCAGGACTGAAGGTCCGGAGGTGTCACTCAGGACACAGCCAGGACGGAGAGAATATCTGTGGACGGTGTTACTGATTCTTGTGTCTCTGTCATTCCTGCAGGTCCACTGCCTGAAGCTGCCATTAATGGAGACATGGAGGAGAAGGTGAGACCAATCACACACACACCAGACACCTACATGTGTCCATAATTTGGTTTTGAAATTAGCCTTCAGAACAAATTCGGTAGTGGGATTTGGTGTTGTGACGTGTGTGAAGAACAGCAGGTCTCCCACAGAGACCACTTCCCTCTTCGGTGAAGGAGCCTCTCCTTCCTGTCAGAGCGGAGGACCATAATAGTTCAGGCTCCTGCTTTCTTTGAACATTCTGCTGCTCCTAGTGTGACAAATAAAAAAAACTGCAGTACAAGAGCAGGGTGAAGGTCGAGGCAGGAACAGGACGATTTTTTTTGTTTTCTTTTTACGTGCAGTTAGCCTCATAGTCAGAGAGAGAGAGAGAGAGAGAGAGAGTGCTGGACTGAGGTATTAATCACAGAGAGTGGACTTGCACACTTTCCTGCGATTGTCTGAATGTTCTGCTTTTCTTTATGCTCTGCTGTGCCGTACAGCGAACCACACCCAGCGAGGTTTACATTTACACAGGGTTTGAACCAAGGACGGAAACGTTACATCTATTTACAACAATAAAGATTTCTAACAGTCTAGACTGTAATGGGTCATTATTAGGTGTATTTGGTGCTATGTGGTGGCCACATTAGGGATATTAGACCTAAGGTATGAATACAGGAATAATAATAACGTATATATATATATATATATATACATATATATATGCTGCTGTGCTGATGTGCTTGTTGGTCAGTGAGGTGTGGTCTGTGGGCCTCATCCTGTGGCAGCAGTTATTGTAACAGTAACAAAAGCAGGAAGAGTACTTTCTAAACATTACTATTATTATTTTTTCCTAAAAGAAAGAAAAAATGTAGACATAACAATATGGTGTGATTTTTTTCAATATTTTCTTTAGAAAATGTATATTTTTAAAGAATATATATATATATAACATATATTAAAAATTATAATAAAACGTCACACAAATACTTATACAGGGCCCTCATTTTATAGCTTCACAAGTCAATATATAGATGAAGCATTTAACTGACTGTGGATGTAAACATTTAATTGACAACGTATACGTATGTGATAGTCTTAAGTCTTATTCTTAAGACCAACAGTGCCCCCTTGTGGAGAAATATGTTCCTTCAAAAAGTCAAATGTTTCAGTACAGGTGCAGGAAATATCCAGGTCGATTGATGTTATCTAATGTAGTTTTACTGTACGTGGGCCGTTACTACAGCACTTACTTAAAATGTCTAATATTACTCCAGAAAAAATATATATCGAGAGAAAAATTTGTGTAGTAAGTTTTGAGAAAAAAAAAATTCAAATCAAAAATTCTTTATGAATACAACGTTAAATTTTAAATTAGAATTTACAGTGAATTGTAGAAAAAAAATGTTTGTGGTCAAACAACAACTTTGTTCCCGGCAGGTGAATGGTAGACAGGCCAAAGAGGCAGAGAGAGACTCCAAACTGTCTGTCAGTCCTTCTCCATCCAACGCTTCCTCCAACACCTCCCTCACAACCCCAACCACAAACACCCCACCTGAGGTACAGTACATCACAGTAGCTGTATCTGCTGGGAGAAATATGACTTTTAAAAAGTTTTTTTTACTGTTTTTTTTTCCCATCTTGTTCTCCAGGGTGTGATCCCGGACGCCATCCCAGCGTTGAACCTGACCCTGCAGCAGGTCAAAGAGCTTGCCCACCAGAAACGATCCAACAAACGAGCCCCGCCAATGGACTGGACCAAGAAAAATGAACTCTTTAGCAACCTATAAAACACACACACACACACATATATATACAGACACCTTTTTTATAATCATAGTGATAATAAAAAAAAGAGATATTTTTATTATGATCAGTTTAACGGCCGACAGATGAAGGAAGTTGTGTTGTTTTGTAAAATTCAGTATTCTTCTAATTATAACCACAATATAATTACATTAACAGTAATGTGCTACTAACAATGATGAACGTTGTTTATGCCAATGACAGAAAACTGGACCATGGAGAGACTGAATGTTTGCTATTTATGTCCTGGGAGAGTCAAGCTGTGGTCCCAACAATCACCCCCAGTGTGTGTGTGTGTGTCTGTGTGTTTGTGTGTGTTTGTGTGTTAAGGCCCCGACATTTGACCCGTGGTCTAATACCTGTGGAAATAATGAGTATTTAATCCCTTTGCTCTGTTTATTCATTTTTTTATCAACGTTTAAAACATAGAAGAGTTCTAATAACAGCGGTTAACAATGTTGCCTCACAGCCAAAAGGTCGCAGGTTAACGTCCCAGGCTTGACAAGCTAGTCCAGCTGTTTGCAAGTAGCATGCTATTGGCTGGGGTCCAGTCTGCATTTAGTTAATGCCGTAAAAGCTCAAATTAATAAACTAAAAGTATCTGAAATAAGAAGACGCAGGAAAAACAGTGATCAGAGAAACAGGGAGACTGAACACGAGCAGCCTGACTTAAACATATAGAGCTGAAGCTTCAGGCACAGAGCTGAGATGCTCAAACTCGTTGCTTTAATTTAGAATGTTGTAAAAACTGTTTGTCAAGGTTATTTATACATTGTCCAAAGGGCTTCAAAAAGTTAGAGGAATGGGTTTCAGAAAAAACAAACAAAAAAAAAACACCATGACAATTGTTTTTAATGTTAAAATCTGTTTCAATAACCAAACGTGTTTCACTATGAAATCTTTGAACTGGAAAGAACTGTATATTATAATAGGTGATCAGACACTGCATGTACATAAATATCATATATTGTGTATTTTTTCAGCTCAGATCACCCCCCTCCCCCCGTCCACACACCCTTCGTACAGATCACTGTCTGATGTGTTTAATACTCCTTTATGAATAAATGTGAACCACAGTTTGTTATGAATAACTTATAACTTCTTTTCTTTACCCTCCTGTCTGCTGTGAACCACTTTACGACTTTTCATACTCATAGCACATGATGTTTTTTCGATTTTTGCTGCTGTGAGATATTTTACATTTTCTTATGTCTTAAAATATCTAATGATGTTTTTTTTGGGGGGGGGGATTTTAAAAAATAATTTCTGTGTCTTAGCTTCCCTGGATTTCCTGCATTTGCCCTGTTTTGTGAGGACTTTCACTTCAGCTCATGTAAGTGATTTCTATGTGGAAATAAATCAATTGTCACAACAACAGTATTCTGGAATTTTTTGTGTGACTTGTCAAGTCCTAGTGTGTTTCTTTTTTATTATTATTTAATTTGTTAAAGACATAAATACAAAGAAGAGAGTCAGTTCTGTCAATAGGAGACATGGAACTTACAATAGTAGTTTTAATATATCGTTATGAAGTGTGTTTTATATTCTTCAAAAAATAACGATTTCAATATCAAAAAAATTTGAATGGAAACTGCAATTAAATCATCTTTTTTCTTTTCCCAAAACAGAAAACAAAAACAGTATTTTAATTTCATCAATTAAATTGTAAAAAATAGTCCTCATGTAAAGTGAAGGGCCTTCTAACAAAGCAACAGTAATTGCTACCTACATATTAACAGTGTTTTACACACAACGATCGTTTCCAGTGGTTAATTCTGCTGCTGCCTCACAGCATCACTGATGAAACAGTAACATCTGTCAGCTCATCATTTTGTTCTGCTCTCACAGGAAGACAGGGGTGTGTCATCCTCACCCGTCCCCCGATGTGTCACTCCGTCTCCGGCAGCTGTCTCTTACTAATGACCTCGACCTTTCTGCTCCTCCGCTCTCCTTCCAGCACAACCTTCATTACCGCGGCTCACTGTCAGCCTCCGTACTGTTCCCCCTCCGTCTCTGTAGGATAATTAACCTCCTCTGACTCCATGACACTGATGACATTCATCAGAACACAATTAGGTCCGGGGTGTCCAAAGTGGCCCTGTGATACTTAAGACTATAATTGAGTAATGAAGTAATGTCAAATAATACGAAGAAAACCCCTCAGGTTTTACAACATTGGGCCATGAGTCAACTTTTCTGGATCAGTCAGTAGAACAAAATGTCTTTTTTTTTTTAAGTAAACAGAGTTCCTACAGTTGCGCTGACGTTACATTAAAAGATCATTGTTGCACACTCCACACCAACAGATTTAATTTATGTTTTATTAATTGAACTAGATAAAAGAACAGTTTCAATACTAATAAAGATTTATACGTTCGAGCTTACGTTCGACTAATTGCTTTTTTGATCAGATCTTTCCTAAAAAAACTAACACAAAATAAAAAAAACCGATGCTGAGTTAGTCTCGCCCCACGGGAGTTGGGCTAATCACGCTGTTTTCCGGTGTAGTTACGTCACAAAAATGCTGCAAAACAGTCCAGAAAAAAACCCCACTTCCGTCGCGCTGTGTAACGTCAGACGCCGACAAATTCGCCGCGTGTTTCAAAAGCAACAGGTTCCCGGTGGTAGTTCAACATGGCGACTCGACCTGGTCCGGATGAACGACACAAATAGAAAGGTAAGAGACAGTTGGCTGTTTATTTCCTACCGTTAGCCTTTTAGACTCAGTTAATTCATTTGGCTAAGTAGCTTAGGCTTCACTAAAACCGGAAGTGGAAGCAAATGTTTATTTATTTGGTTTAATGAAACTAGTTATAAAAAAATGTCTATCCTATGCTGGACTCATGGACTGTTTGGAGAACGTTTTCACTCATTGAATCACATTTTAGTGTTTATGCTTCAGCTTCAGTGTCTTCTACAGTGAGTTTCTAAAATAAATGATTTACTTTGTATCAAACCTTTAATCAAGATCTGTTTTAAATAAACAGATGTGTGGGGATTTTTTTCTGCGCACGGAGACCAGGTGGAAGTTGTCAAGCATAAAAGTACGCTCCTGAAACTGAAAGACAAAGGTGAGAGACCTGTGGAGTCAAACTCAGGTTTTCTTTTTACTCAAAGACATTATTTGACTGTGTGCTAACTTTGAAACATCAGTACTAAACTTGACTCGTTTGGTTTATTTTCCAGAATGGTCATCCTGAAGATCTTCAACACAGTAAGGAGTGGAGTTTTTATTATTTTATTCTGTGCGGCTGCCGTCCCGCTGCTGTGCTCTACCAGGCCACTAGGCATCTCTGTGTGCATTTGTGTGTGTGTGTGTGTGTGAGAAGCATAGTTATAGGAACAGCAAATGGCCACCTGTTTTTTGTCTTCTTTGTTTCCTTTCTATTTTTCCTGTCTTGAGTTTATAGTCTGTGAAATCTGGGTTTTGGAGCAGGAGTTATAAACAGGAGGCTGGTTAGTCAGCCAGTGAAGTCGTGGCTGGCCCTCTGCTCTAAGGTGGTCAGCAGCAGGTTGTTGTGACTCTGGTCCCTTTTCAATGGTGTGCATGTGGAACTGCTGAGCAATTAGGTAATAATTGGCTCTGGGTCTGATTTCTGATTGTGATTGTTCAGGATTTGTAGTTAATGTAATGCCTGTGAGAGTGGTGTGAGCTTGAAGTGTGTGAATGACTGGAGTGGTTTCAGGCTCAGCAGTTTGTGGTCAGAGTGTGAAGATGTTCTGTCTCTGTGTGCAGTAACAGTTATTACTTTTTAGGTGCTGTCGACAAAGGGTGAGTCCAAATCTTTTTATTATTTTCTTCTCTGGCTGGCTATGCTGTCGGCCTCCATCTGTCCCTGTCCTTAGATTAGTGCTTATTAATTATACATTAGCAGAGTTATTTCTCTATAATGTAGCCTAATCTAATTTAATTATTAAGACAAGGCTGAACAATGGCGTCTAATAATCGTACAACTCACATTTATCAAAATAATGTCTAACCTACTTGGATAAGTTTCAAAAACCACACCGGCGTCATGCAGTGTTGCATCTTCAACCCACTGTGTTCCTAAATGTTTTCCAACGCTACAGCTGAAGATCTGGAGGAAGAAGAGGAACCTGAGGGAAAAAACAAAGTAAATTGCGATTAGTTGCGCGGTTAAAATGTGATACATAAGGTAAGTGACACTGGTTCTGTTTCTTCCCAGCCGCCGGCTGATCCTGCGCTCTTTCATGACCTTTTTTCCAGCTGCCGTGCTGATCCTGTCTGTTTTTCATAAAAATCTTGCGTCTATAATCGCTACTTGTCGGTCAGTGTAAAAGTAAACATAATTGCCAACGTTCAGTCTAAAATGTGTAAAACTAGAAGTTATGGAGAGTAGCAGTAGAATTTTTCCAGCGTATTCTTTCAAATCTGTGTGTGTGGGACCAGATGTAGAACCAGGGCTGTTGTTTCCAAACCTGAAAGTTAGCTTAGTTTGAACTGTGAGGATGCCTTGTTTTGGCCGCTGTGTCAAAAGGCTGATGTCCAATAATGGGTTCAGAGCCATCGTGGCACTTCCTCTTAGCTGTCTTCTGTCCTTTCTTTCACAGTGTGGCCATTCAATAGTGTCTCAGGAACATTCACAGCTTTTTAATTTACTCCACTGGCAGAACATATAATTTAAAAAAAATCCACAAATTTACGCCCTGTTTGCGGTCCTACAATTTTGAACATTGCGGCGATTTTCTACAATTTGGACAACGTCGTAATTTTCTACAATTTTGGATGACCTGGTTCTTCACCACAATTTTGGATGGCCATTTCCTGACTGTGCAGAGTGACTTCCTGGATCCCGACTACACCTATCAACATGGATGTCAAGAACTCTAAAAGTCATGTGAATTTGCCTGCTGTTGTACACTTTTTTTTTTCTTATTTTTGTTCTCAAATGTATATCCATGTAACTTCACTTGCTTTTGTAACATGTATCATTGTCAATATAAGAGTTAGTGTAACTTTGCTTGACTGTTAGAATTGTCTACGTACACATGTTCATTGTTTGTATGTTCACCTTTATCTCTATGCTAACAGTGGAGAGTATATGCCACTATGAAGTTGTCAGTTGTTGTATTTAAATTACTGTTCAGCCCATAGATTTTGTTTTAAAATGTCAAATTTAAATTCACCACTTATTATCAAACTGTGACAGTATTTGGTCTTAAATTGTCTTTAATGTCAGTAAACAGTTTAGACCTTTAGATCTGGCTTGTCTCTCTCTGCCAAGTGGATTTCCTACTAAAGACTATAGTTTTTAATTCATAAATACTGTAGTGTAATCTTATAGGCATACAGGTTAGGTTGTGCATTTAGATTCTTTAATAGAAAATATACTTGGCAAAGAGACAACCCAAGACTTGGTAAAGGTTAAATTAATATTTACAACTTTGAAACATTTGAAAAAATGTTGTGGGCTAAATGGTAGACAATAATCCACTTGTGTATATTAATTGAGTTAATTGTGTGAAATTGTTCGATGGTGGCAGTGTAGGCTTCACCCGAGCTGCCCTGATTGACTGAATGTGGTAAGATCAGTCAGTTAAACAGGTAAGACTGTACCACAGGTGGACCGACTCCTTGGTAGAAAGATCTTCTCAACCACAGGACATCTTCAGGTTTGTTCTTCACGTTAACCATTGCTAAATGTGTTCACTTTAATCTGTAGACTGACTGACTGATCTGATCTGTGTGACCAGGATTCCAAGGACCTGAGTTCACTAAGAATGGAGAAGTTGGATCCTGGTTAGAGGGACCTAAGGTGATCACAATGATTGACTTTCTATAGGTTTTCATTTTACTTGAACCATTCTATTCTAAGAACTAGTCAAATCTACTGGCTTAATCAAAGATTCTGTTCATGTTGTCTTCTTCTGTCCAGTGTCTTGGTTGCTGTAACTCATTTGCTGGTTTACTTTGTGTCGGGCTGTTTAACCCAGTACAGGAGCCATCACTGTCATTGGAGAAGATTTCTGCTGCTGCTGCTGGAGGGTTCACACATCTCAGGGCAATGGTGTGTCTGGGTTTCGTACTGTCTGTTCACACAGTCCAAAGTTTAAACGCCGTCTGGGATGGACCCCAGAGAGCTGAAGTTGGCTAAATGTAAGCAAATCCTCAATGTTGTTCTTTTCGCAAAGCTGAAACTTTTTTTCAGATTATTTGCGTACCCCTTTTACAGAAATTCATTTTTGCTTTTTTGTTAGACTTGAGAGAATGGAACTTGGTGAAGTTTTATCCTGATCAGGTCATCACTGCAGCCAACATGATCCAGACCTGCCTCCTTCCTGGGTGTCTTAAGGTTCGTACTAAATTATAATCCCTGTCAGTTTGTTGTTGAGTAAAAAACTTACTTGACTTATTCATGTTCAGGTTCTGACCCAGGCCCACCACAGCTGACAGGAGTTTCTGTTATAATGCCTGGCCAGCTGTTCTATGGATTTTTGTTTTGTGAGGTTGACCATTTACAAATAAGTGTGATGTTTCATGGATAATTTAAGATGTGGTCTTTGGTCACTGATGAGTTAAACTACACGCTTGATTTATTTAGCTTATTTATTTATTTAGCTTTATTTTAGTTTACAATCAGTCAGAGTTTAATGAGCTGGATTTCCTTCACACTACTAACCACTCTACACCACTAACCTACACCACTACCTTCCTAACCCTTCTTCTTGGTGCTTGTTGAAATCCAGCCATTAATTCTTACTGATTGCTGCACCATAGATGCAGTTTCCAAAATCAGACCTGGATCCATCTGATTTTGGGACCTGGTCCATCTATGGTACAACAACATCCTCCAAAAATGCTACTGACCAGTCAATGTGAAATCCTTTAGGACAGAATCAATAAAGATTTAGTTTATGTTCAATCTTTTGTAGTTATTTCATCAGTGTTTTTTGGCCACGTCAAGGAGTCACTTCATGGTTGCCTTGTTTGTTGTTTTTCTCCATTAATTGTGATTGTGCTTTCATTTAAAATTTGAAAATAAATGACTAATGGTTAAATTGAACATGATTGCATGATTGTCTTTCCTCCCCCTTCGATTACTGAAGTTCAAGCTATTTATAACAAATTGCTGATTTTATTAAACTACCTTTAATGTCGCTATTAATAGCCTGATTTTATTAAACTACCTTTAATGTCATGTCACAGCTTGTATTTAGACGTGTCCTCTGATTTGTTTTTATATTTATTGATTTTTATTGTCCTTTTTTTATTACTTTTCTGTGAAACCATTGTGATTTATTGCCCAAAGTGACTGACTTTAAAATAGTAACATTTATTCAAACCCCATCTTTGATCCACTTTATATGAATTCGGAAAGATTTTGTTTGCCTTTTACCACGTTGCCTCTGTCAAGCCTATCACGACAGCTCAGTCACACAGCATCCTGTCTGTCATCTCTTCTCTACAAGCAAACTGAACCAAGAGAGAGAGGATGCTTTGAAGGAGGACGGGGGGGATTGGTGATGTTGAAAATGAAGATGATGAAGGGCAGGTGCAGGGTGTTCGCTGGGCCTTCACAGCTTAGGTGCAAACACTGGGTAGCTGGGCAACTGTGTCCACCAGGGCGTCCTTGTAAGGCCTGGAGCAGGAGGGTGAGATGAGGGGTCGACACAACTTTACCTTCAAACCCCAGAGCAGGCTAAAAATAGTGTAAAAATAGTGGGGAGAGAGAACAAGAGAGAGAGAGGAACACAGAAAGTGAGAGATGTTAAAGTTGTCCTGTTTGGGGGGAAAAAAGATGGACAAAAACTGATGTTTGGAAAATGACCAGAAGTCTGAAGAAGGATGTTTTGTAAAGGTAGTAAAGTATAGGTAACACATTGCTGAATGTAGCACTGGTTGCACTGGTGCATAAGGTGCATCAACTTCACGATCCTTCCTCTGTCTGTCCTCTCTGAGAAAACGTCATCCCCTTCTACCTTACTTTCCTCGTGCACACACTCGCACACCATCTCCTTTTATAAAAATACCCAAGGACAATCCTCACTATTAATAGAAAGTGTTGTCAACCGGCTCTGGAGAAACGGGACCTTCTGTTCAGCTAACTATTTTTGCGGCCCTTTGTAGCCACGACCCCTCACATCAACTTTCTAGACTGTTAAAGACAACGTAAACATGTTACATTAACTGACAGCATCTTTACACCAATTTTAACATGATAAATAATTGTATAGGAAAAAAGGTCAGAATTAACTTGCAGGGTTTTTTTTTATCAATTTATTGCATTGCTTATTTATCAGTTGATTGTCATAAAACATTTTTTCTCACAGAAAATGAATGTCTAACATAGTTTATAATATTCAAGATTCAAAATAGTTTTAAAAGGTGTATTAACTGAGTATGCTAATGTGGTCCTATGAGTACAGTATGATGTAAAAATAAATTTAAATAATTTATAAAGTTAAAAAGTAAACATTTATACAAAAATAATTTAAATATAATTTTAAATGATACTCTTAAGCTACCTTAATGTTAACCTGACCTAAATTCTAACTATAACCCTAATAAAAATTATAATTTAATAAATAAAAACTTTAAATAAATTACAAAAAATAGAAAATAAAGATATTAATAAAGAAATTAAAATAGCAGATTAATATCATCCCTTCGCTAAACCAACCTCTAACTATAGTCTAACCTATGATTTTATTTCGATATCTGACAACTACAAAATAATACCTCCTTAAATTTTAGATGCATGACCTTTTGGTATAAGGCTAGCAGTTGTGTTTTCATTTGCCTAATTTCCTAAAAGACCATCATCTGGCTCTACACCACAAACAGAGGTCTGTTCCAGCGATGGACTCAGTGTTTTATTATTTACTCTGCTCTTCTTTCACCACTGGACTCTTTTGGTTGCAGTGCAGAAGCAGTCATGGAGCTCCACACATACTGCAGGTGATTTATAGGCCTCAGGGCCGACATCCACCAAGCCCTGACTTCAGCCCTTCGTCGCTTGCAATTTGCCCACATGTACTGTAAATTAGTGGCATTTCAACCTTGACGCTTGGGTTGAGAATGACCGAGACGGCGCACCTGTTTGAGAGCAAGTGCACACACACACTGTCACACAAGTGATTTCATGTTGTTTGACTTCATTGACGGGCCTTAAAGGATCAGTGGAAAATCTAAATGCACATCACGTGTTGTAATGTAAACATTATCTACACGGCACTTATAGAAACAACTGTTACAAAAGGCGCTGTGACTGTAAGGCAGAGCACAGATGGTCTCTGGAGCCGTACACCTCAAACTGTAGTGTAACCTTAAAAAATATATATATATATACACAGTATATCCAATCTCAAAATTGATGACAGAATTTTAAAGGATGAATTGGGAGGGCTTTTATTTATTTATTTTTATTTAGGAAATTCTTTCCCACTTCAAACTTAATACAAAACCTGGATTCTAATTATAGGTTAATATATATAGAGAGAGTTAATATATAATACTGAGGAGTTTTAATTTTGAAAGCTGTTGCAATATGAAAAAAATAAATGGTGTGTGTGTGTGACAGGTGTTTAGTTGGAATGGTGCTAAGCTTTAAGTGCTATCCCAACCCAAGCCCTATTCCTGGGTTACACACACACACACACACACACACACACACACCTGTCTGTTACATGCCATAGACTGTGTCTGTTGGTCTTTGTGTCTCACACAAACACTTGAACACACTGTGACATACTCAGAATGTTGAGACTTGTGTGCAAGGTCACATTTCCACATCCTCTCACATGTGTCTTACACTTGTTTTTGTGCCTGCAGCCGCCAAAAGCTTTCATGGCATCTGCACTGTGAGACCATTCATGATATGGGAGACCCATCGAATGAAAGTCAACTCTTCCTGGAACAGCAGCAGGAACATCTTTCTCTGAATTTGAGTTTTGTTTTTTTTTCATGTACCAAACACCAGAAAGTCTGAAGTCTTGCTCGTTGCTCCATCCATCACCTTGTCAGCGTTGCCATTTCTCCAGCGCTGTGTACTCGGATCATTCCCAGCCCATCCACACTCAGGCCCGTATATGGCGGCACTGGGAAGTCATAGGGTTAAATATACTCTGTGGCTCCAAGAATGCCAAACTCCTCCGACTCTACTGACCCAGGGAGATGCACACCGCAGGGCACAGAGACGCACAGTGGGCACATGTGCTGATTGTGTCATTAGCGCGATCGCCAGTACAATAAGTCAGAGTAATGAGGTGCTTCCAGGAATCATGAAACCCTGTCCTGATATTATGGAGCTTGTATGCGACTTCTCTCTGCACAGACGGCAGAAAATGCCATATCAGCAGAGTGTACACCTTTGCTGCATTCAGTATTTTTATTCAATTAACCCAAAGTTCCATCTGCCCTGAAGACTCAGAGAGGAGCCTGGTGGCCACAGTTTATGAATGAAGAATGAACCAGTTACTATAATAAACATCGTCTTTCCCAGTTATTTTAGGAAAAAAGTTAAAACATTGTAACTCTTTAAACATTTCCAAATAATAAAGCTTTCACCTGGAAGAACATCTTGTGGGGTAGAAACTAGGAAGTGACCTTGATGTCACCTTCAAGGTTCAACGCAGCATCTGAGGGTTTGGGGGGGAGGAGGAGGGGTTCTCATCTCCAGGGTGTCACATTCCCAAACTTCCCTGAAAGAACATGGAAATTCTGCCATTGTGTCATAGCTGCTCACACACACATGCTCACCACACTATTTATACCAGGGGAACACAACTGTGGCTATAGGTACAGTTACAGTGAGGCACTTCAAACCCCAGCTGCTTCAGCTAAGAATACAGTGTAGTTAGTGTACACATCGTACACACAAACACACACACACACAGATACCCACTGGTGCTGCCGCTCTGCTCTGACTTTTTGGCCCTCCTCCTCCTCCTCTTCCTCCTCCTCCTCCTCTTTCTCCTTCTCCCTCTCAACCTCGGAGTGTTTTCTGGATCTATCACTGATGACAGCCCGTCCTGATGTTCCCACCTCCCACGCTGAGCTTCCGGCCAACAATCTCTCACACACGCCTGTTACATCACAACTCAGCTCGTCTCCATACCAGCTCCAAATCATTATGTACAAAATCATTTTTAGAGGATAGGGAGGAAAAGGGAAGTTGAAACGCAATAATGTTGCAAACCTTTTTAGTAGCGACATTAGCCACATTAAGGCTAAGGTATTAATTAGGGATGTCCGATCATTTTGGCCGACCGATATTATCGACCCGACATTAGTATATTATGTAATATCTGTAAAAATTGTTATCGATTTTTCCTCCGATAATGAACACCCGATAATGCAATGCCTGGGTTTTGTCATATGATGTGTGCCCCAAAAATAGTCTTGGGGATAAACGGCTGTATATTAAAGCAAAGGTCACTAGATGGCAGCATTGCGGCTCATTTAATTAATTTTCTACTCATACAGTGGTTTGTACAGATAAATAAGTGTTTGGACAATATCGTCATATTGGATATCGGCAAAAAGAAAAGCGGAAAATGTAATTTTGACCCATCTATTAAAAGACACTGTCTTTATTGATTGACTTTGAAAAAAAAAAACTTCCCTGAAGCTTTAAACAATAAACAGCAAAGAACTCAAATAACTTTTCTCACTGACACACAACTAATCTTTCCCAGTAATGATCATGTGAGATGGTTGAGTGTGTGTGTGTGTGTGTGTTGTGTATGTGTGTGTGTGTGTGAGGTGCTGTATTGTCCCTGCAGTGTTTTATTAGAGCACAGCGCTCCAAACGAGCACCTGTAACCTGATTCCTCAGAGAGATTGAGGTAAATGTCAGTGAGCCACCTTGAGCTTTGCACCACAGCAGAAAGGCCTCAGTGAAGAAGTCCAGGTCAGAGGGGAAGCACACGGAGGCCTAAACCTTCAAATGACACAGACATGAGAAGGGGAGACGAGGGAGACAGATGTTGGGTGGGAGAAGGGAGTAAAAAAATAAAAAAACAGAAGTGAAGTGGAGGCAGCGATTGTCTTTTGGTTCAGACAGAAAAGATGAAAATCAGTTTGTTTCAATAATTTTGAATATTAATTTAAAACTTTTACTGAGACAATTTCAATTTCCTTTTTGTCTGACTCTGTTAAAAGAAATTAATTATTTGTACTGTTTTGTGAAACATGTCAAAAGGCATAAAGTGTAATGAGTCTGCAGAGGAAATTAAGAGGCTTAATCCTGAAGACCCATTATCTGACTGGAAGAACTGAAGGCCGGGGTTAATGTCCAGTTTTTGCACACAGTGTGTGTTTATGTATATAATCATATATATATATACACACACACACACTGTACGTATGCACCTAAGTCTGCGTGTGACTCAGACACCCACCAGTGTCCCTTCACCTCTCATTCAGAAAGTCATTATCTGGCCACTCCTCATTGTCCTGACCCTGCATATTCCCTTCTGCACATCTTATTTCCAGCTTGCCAGGCAGTGGAGCCCCTCTGCATTTGTTGCCCTTCTCTCCCACCCCCCTGCCCCCCGGCCTATTCTTTACCACAGGCCAGGGCCATCCCTGCCCTGCCTACGTAATTGTGCTCTTCTCAGCCAATGAGCGCTGAGTTCATGTTGAGAAAGCACCAATGAGGCCACTGTTTCATCTGTATAAAACTTTTCAGGACAGTTTGCCAGGTTGCACTTTCTGTTGGTCCAGGGCTCCTGGAGGTGAGCATCAGAGAGAGAGAGAGAGAGAGAGAGAGAGAGTGAGGGGGAGAGAGAGAGAGCGTGAACACAGGGGGTGGCCAGTTTTTTTTTAACTTCTCACACTTAAGAAAAGTGGTGGGTGATCAATACTTTATTTTTTTTTTTCAGAGCTGCTGGGTCACAACACCTGACATCTTTGTTTTTTTTTTCCTTTTTCTGTTTCTAAAGGATGGAGAACGCACACATCAGCGAGTCAGTGGACGTTCTGTCCCACTTTGGCGTAACTGAGGAAACGGGCCTCACTCCTGAACAGGTCAAGAAGAACCTGGACAAGTATGGCTACAACGGTGAGAGAGAAGGAATGGATGGATGGATGGATGGATGGTTGGATTGATGGATGAGCACAAGGTTAAGTTGGAAGGAAGAGTATAGAGGGATTGACAAAAAGTAAAATGAAGAGGTTGAGCCTCCAGGTGTCAGTTATGTGGATGAAGTTGAGGTGAAAGGCCAGGGAGGAAAATTGAAATAAAAAAAAAAGGACATAAGGACAAGAAGAAGGGGGAGAAGGTTGAGTAAGAAGACCACAGAGCACTGAGAAACGACCTGCCACTGATGTGGTTGATGACGGTCTGATGAGAGGGAAACTAACCCAGGGATAAAAACAAGATCCAGGGTCCAATGACTGAGGGGCAGGTGTGTCAGGGCTTTAGATTTCATTTAATAACTTCTGGATTTATTTTTTGATTAAAGATAATTCAATTTTGAATTTATTTATAAAAAATAATTCCATGCATTCAGTGCTAACAAAACAAAAAATCAAATTGTGAGTTTAGGCAATAAAATTGCTTAAACTGTAGACCGAACAAATGGATGTTGACGCAGTAACAGCGCACTATAATAACAGACGGGGGCAATTAAGGGGAACAGTGAAGGTCACTTTCTTCAGCCTCTATATTTGTGTCAGACGCTGGCAGTGGGACAGAAAGGCCTCAACAAAGCAGCTGCCACTTAGGCATTATTAATTTGTGCGAGGATGGATGAGGAGCGGGCGGCGTGACATATCTGCAGAGTATTTGCAGAGAGAGGCAGTAAAAATACAAAGAAATACAAAGTGCATTGTTAATATTCCCTGTTTGTCCTCTCTCCTGCAGAGCTTCCAGCAGAGGAGGGTGAGTTCACTGCCAACGCCTGCTTTCCTTCTGCTCACATATGAAGTTCATGTGCTGTCCATCAGACGGCATCGTTTCACTCCGCTCTGCCTCTGGTTGGACTTCCTGTGAAGAAAAGTCTCCAGATACTCACTGTATACGACACAAATAATATGTCAACAACACACACTGTGTGCACAGTCACTAAAATAGTGACTGGAATATTAGAAAATTTCACTTCAGACATGCAGATGATTTAAATACTCTTTAATCACCATGTAACACTTAGTTATCAACTTTCTGTTTTTAAATTATCATCATTCATTGAATAATTCATTAAATAAAAAACATAAATTCCAAAAAAGCACATACAGGGGCAGCTGGTGTTTAATGACCACCTTCAGATGAATAGCATATGTGATTTTTTGTTTTTTTACAGGAAAGAGTATCTGGGAGTTGGTGGCGGAACAGTTTGAGGACCTGTTAGTCAGAATCTTACTCCTGGCAGCCTGCATCTCCTTCGTAAGTCCCTCAGTCACTAAGTTTTGTTGTTTTTTTTAACCTTTGAATATAGAGGGTTTTCCTGCTTATGATGATATTTGTGGACAACCTCACCTTGAAATCACCATTGAAATCTAAAGCTTTAAACTTTAAAAATCGTTTTGCCCAAACCATTAAAAACAAGCAACATTCACGATTATGACCAGGTGTAGGAAATGGAGAGAAGCTAATGTTGCAGAGACAGATGTTTCTTGCCTGATATATAAACCAGTGTTTCCCAAACTTCTTTTCTGGCGACCCTTATTTTAAAAGTCACAAACCTTCGCGACCCAAGTCAATAGACATAATTCATATAATTCTTGCGACCCACCTGAGGATTGCGACCCAGTCTTTAGGAAACAACGATATAAACTATACAAAAATATATTTTAAAATTTTTTTAAATTATGATCAAATTAAGAGAAAAAAAGGTAAATAAACTATAATTTTAGCAGGTGCAGGTGAAGTGGCAGTGGTCCTGTTTTTTATTATCACCACTGATTAACATAATGAATATCGTTAATGAAGCAGCGCAGCCTCTGATGAGCTGCTCACGGTCGTCACGGTGACTTCATGCTGCGTGTGTCTGCTTTCGGCAGCGCGTCTCATAAAACAGAACCAGAGCAGATCCTTCAGAACAACAGGAATAACAGTGACTCCAGCTCCATTTACACGTCCAAGTGTAAACTGCGTCTGCCCTTTCATGTTTTTCTTGTGATTACGTGCACACTCGTGCACTCTGACCGCCAAACACGGCGCCCACATCACCGGGGTTCTTAAATTACAATTGGACTCATGTCCCCACTCATTTACACAAGGAATCCCTCACCCTCCCCACACCCCCCCCCCCCCCCCCCCCCCCCCCCAACCTCCTGTCCGCAACTGTTTTGCAGAGAAGACAAGGCAGGACACATTGTCTTAATCCTCAATCTCTGCCCTTTGGCCTCCGTGCACAGCTGTCACTGACTGACCCTAGAAGGCCCTGCAGTTGTGTGTGTGTATGTGTGTGTGTGTCTGTGCGTCAGTGTCTACACGGCTTTATTTTAAGAAAGTCTCAAGCCAGGGTGAGAAACTGTATCCTTGGACAAAGGTCAGAGATGGAAGGAACGAGGCAGAGAGAGTGAGGCAGAGGAGAGCGAAGGGGGGAGAGTCCGGGGTTGGGTTGCACAACGGCATTGTTTGCTACAATGACAAACGAGAGCTGTAGATTCATAGACGTATACGGTTTCTAAAAGAGAGAACACTAAATACTGCAAATACACAGCCATCCTATTCATACACACAGGAATGTCCTGCCGCTGCGATGTGCTGACAAGCTGTGACGCTCGTTGTGGAGATCGATTCTGTCTTTGAAAAGGGACGCAGGGCGAAGACAGACGGCAGCCACTGAGCAGTGGAGCTTATTTTAAGATAAGGGTGAGAAGAGTGAGAAGAGATGTGAGATTAGAACGAAGACACATGAAAAAAAAAACCCTAAAAGACTACGATGCCAGAGGAGGATGTCAGCTCCCCGCTCCTCTCTCGCTCCACTGGCCCGCAACTAATCTGTGTCAATGTCAACACAGAGCCTTTCCGAAAACAGAACTTTGATGTAACATCCACATGGGTTACACTGTGTATGGAGGAAAGACTCTACACCTGAACTGCCTAAAATTGTTTTTGCGCTTTAAGACAATTTTGATAATTTTTTAAGAAAAAAAATGAAATCTGTCATTTTTCCAAAGTGAAAAAACATAAAAATGTTTGACAAAATATTTAATGAAACATCCAACTGAAAAGCTAACAAAACATGACTTCTGGGTTAGAACATGTGCAAGTCATTTCACCTGCAGGGGGTGCTATAAACACCAGTCCACTTACCCCACATTTCCACTAAAATGTTTTCTGTGATATACTTCTGCTTTCAAGATTTTAACATAAGGGGAAAAAATGTCAGATTAGATCGTAGACAAATGGCGAAAAAAAATGCATAGTTGATGCTGGAGGAGGACGTGAGCTCCCTGCTCCTCTCCTCCCTCTGAGCGGCTCCAGAATTGTGTTATTTAGCAGAGACTAGCATCACATTAATAAGCTGTAGAAAATGGATTGATAGATTTAGGATTCAATGATTATTTTCATTCTGCAGTTGAAGGTGCTCAGTGTTTGTGTTCAACTTGTATTACAACGTCTGTGTCTCTGTCTGTCTCTCTGTCTGTTGTAGGTCCTGGCTTGGTTTGAAGAAGGCGAGGAGACTGTCACTGCCTTTGTGGAGCCCTTCGTCATCCTCCTCATCCTCATTGCAAATGCTGTTGTTGGAGTGTGGCAGGTTGGTGAGCTGAACACACACACACACACTGACAGACATACCTGCCTCTGAAGTTTTTTACACACACCTAAATAGACTCTTTAACTTAGCAACAGTCACACTCTCACACACACACAAACACTAAATCATATACGACGATGGTCTTATGGTCTCCATCTGTGTCCTTTACAGTTAGCATAAACACACACACACACACACACGCGCTTCCATTCCAGAATGTAATGAGCGATGTCAGCAAGAGGTTGAGAGGTGAAAAGGTTAAGCCAACAGGGCGAGTGGAGTGAGGAGGTGAGGGAGCAGGGTGTGCTGAAGAACAGGGAACTGTCACGGTTTTCAACACAATACACACTGCAGCCCACGGTAAAAATACAGAGGTACGATCGAGTTACCACACCAAGTGTGTGTGTGTGTGTGTAATGAGGGCTTCATCTAAATGCTGTGCCAGTCATTTGGAAACTATGCACAAGGATTCACACATGGGGGGTTTACAGGGAGACAGAGACAGGGAGGGCAGCTGGTATAAGTTGGGCTTTACACTTTGAGGCGTTTGAGGGCAACCTTAGGAGAAATCACAGACAGATCTGAACATCTGATCGTCAACCTGCCGTCCAGCAGGACTCCATCCAGACAGATGGTCATCTCACCTTACAAAAACACCTGTTTGTACCCCCCCCCCACTGCCCGCCACCCCCAGCTAATGACTCTGTAAACAGTTTTGAAATGAACATCCTGTCCTCAAGTAGGGACATTGTCCTCCCTGAGGTATCTTCTTCATTTTTTTTTAAACGTGTATTGTTTTATTTGTGCTTCTGTCACAGGAGCGAAATGCAGAAAGTGCCATTGAGGCTCTGAAGGAGTACGAGCCTGAGATGGGGAAAGTGTACAGGGCAGACAGGAAGAGTGTGCAGAGAATCAAGGCCAGGGAGATCGTTCCTGGTGACGTGGTGGAGGTTTCAGGTGAGATTCATGACAATGAGGGGTTTACTTTTCTTTATTTCGCAAATCAAGACCATTTATTTTTGTACATAAGGAGAGAGATTTCAATTATATAATTAAGTTAATCGTTAACCAAACAGAAGGTCAAACATTTCACCACATCCACATCATCAACAAGGCATCACTGAAAAGCAAAACATCAGTGAAAAATTGCCATTCCCCTGCAGATAATAGACTTTTGAAGGACCGTATTCTTCATGGCTGACACTTACCTAAGACAACTTGTTCACTTGTTCATCTACGAACTTCATGATCACCTGCAAATTTAAAACAAAATTCTGACAAAAAAGTTCTTTAGATACATATTATTAAAGCAGGGGAGGAGGGGTGTCATCAGCACTGATCTCTTTGAACTTTGGCCTCTTTAATGCAGCCATGGGGAGGAGGTTGAAGGGGCAATAAATGAATTACAAGTGAGAGAGAGGGAGAGAAGGAGAAAGTCAAGCTGGAGTATAAATACACTTTACATAAACGTCTCTTCTGTCTCACCCTCTCCCTCTGTTTGTCATACACCTGTTCTTTCACTTCATGATCTCCCCAAGGTCTCCCTCACCCCCTGACTGCGACCGTGTGATCAGTTTTCAACAACAACGCTGTCCCCTGCCACCCCCTCCCCCCTTCCTCCCCCCTGCATTTCTCCATCCTATTGTACTCCTGCAGTGACACTAACACCAAACCAACTGTAGTCAAACCTTTTTTCTGAATAAATCACTATTTTATAATTCTGATTTTTTTTTTGCGGCGCCATCTAGTTGGCGACAAAGTTCCAGCCGACATCAGGATCATCTCCATCAAGTCCACCACCCTGCGTGTGGACCAGTCCATCCTCACTGGTGGGTGTCACACAGGGACCTACTGTAAAATGTCTCTGCCTGTCGTTTTTTATTCATGCATGCACTCTGGTTCTCTGCAGGTGAGTCCGTCAGTGTGATCAAACACACTGACGCCGTGCCGGACCCCCGCGCTGTCAACCAGGACAAGAAGAACATGCTGTTTTCTGTGAGTCTGTCTTCCTGACTACTGACATCGAGCAACTGTAACTATATGTTAGTTTTGAGTAGGAGTTACTTCCACGACGAGGACTTGAGTGCTTTCCAAGATTAAGATAAAAAGCTGAGAAGCTGAACCCAGTTTCTGTAAATCATCATCCAGGGAACCAACATCGCTGCTGGAAAAGCCACTGGTATCGCCGTGGCCACCGGGGTGTCCACTGAGATCGGTAAGATCCGTGACCAGATGGCTGCCACCGAGCAGGAGAAGACGCCCCTGCAGCAGAAACTGGACGAGTTTGGAGAGCAGCTCTCTAAGGTGGCTGGGACGAGCAAAACACAGACAGACGTGAAAAATGTGAAATATCTGTAGCACACTCCTTGACTGACCGGCTCTCCTCCAGGTCATCTCCCTCATCTGTGTGGCCGTCTGGATAATCAACATTGGCCACTTCAATGACCCGGTCCATGGAGGCTCCTGGTTCCGTGGTGCCATCTACTATTTCAAGATCGCCGTGGCCCTGGCTGTGGCTGCCATTCCTGAAGGTAAACCATGGGGATTAACCTTCGTCTGGTTGCCCATGAAGATTATCATTGTTAAGATTCATGCTATAGAGCTGCTCTGTGTGATGATGATGATGATGATGATGATGATGATGATGATGATGATGATGATGATGATGATGATGATGATGATGATGATGATGATGCAGCAGCTCCCCGTTCATTAAAAACTATATGAGGGCTCAAGATAGATCTTTACAGAGGTGGGCCAGTTTAATAGCCTTTTGGATACATTACACTCTGAGAAGTTTTCAGGGGGTGGGAGGGGTGACATCAACCATTCATTTGATTCTTTGAAAAGTGAAGAGTAACAACAGTGTGTGATTTTAAACCCAAATAAGTGACGTCTCAAAGTAGAACAAAGACAGAAGACAAAAGTCTTACCTTCAGACCTCAGTCAGCTGTAAACGGTGCCAACAGTCTCATGATGCCAATAGAACAACATCATCTGCAAACATTGATGCCACCATAATGTCACTGAGCTGGAAGCTTTCCAGAACTCTCTTGTCACCTCCACTATGAGAGCTGCATTTGCCAAGAATCTGAACACAGATCTCACCATTGGTTGCAGAACCCCCTCCTGCCCACCCCCCCCCAAGAAGATCAAAGTTAGTTTGGATGAACTCCAGCTGGTGCGTTGGGGACACCACAGATCAACCTGCCAAATGGCACAGTGTCTACGGTGCAGGTGTTCTGGTACAAAGAATACTACTATGACCACAGCTCATCTGGTCATTTTATGAAGGATGGAACTTTGCTCTATATCTGTCTCAGCATTCCTTTGATGTGCTGTGTTCAAAACAGGAGTTCCAGGAAATTTTGTGAACTTTTTTTGACTCTTGACTTTTTTCCTCTCACCCTGTACACCTTCCACCTCTTCTGTGTTCTCCAGGTCTGCCGGCTGTCATCACCACCTGCCTGGCTCTGGGAACACGCCGCATGGCAAAGAAAAACGCCATCGTCAGAAGCCTGCCCTCTGTGGAGACTCTGGGTTGCACCTCCGTCATCTGCTCAGACAAGACCGGTACCCTCACCACCAACCAAATGTGTGTAACCAAGGTGGGTCCACACTCGTTACCGCCGCAGTAACTCCGGCACAACAAAAAGGAGTTGATATTAAAAGCTGTCGTCTATTCCGTACAGATGTTCGTCATTGATAAAATGGATGGTGACAACGTTTCCCTGGGTCAGTTTGACATCTCAGGCTCCAAGTACACTCCGGAGGGAGAAGTGTAAGAGTTTGAACAGTTTCCAGTGAAGGCACAGCCCAAGTTGAGGAACGGTATTTAACACGGTTTTGTGTTTTTCTGGCAGTACAAAGAACGGTTCGTCTGTGAGGTGTGGTCAGTACGATGGACTGGTGGAGCTGGCGACCATCTGCGCTCTGTGCAATGACTCTTCTCTGGACTACAACGAGGTCTGTGCAGAGGCAAAGTTTGATTTTACAACTCCCATCCTGACCTGGATCCTCACTTTACTTCCTTTATTTCACAGTCCAAAGGTATTTATGAGAAAGTGGGCGAAGCTACAGAAACAGCTCTGTGCTGTTTGGTGGAGAAGATGAACGTGTTCAGCACTGAGGTGCGAGGACTGTCCAAAGTGGAAAGGGCGAACACGTGCTGCAACGTAAGTCTGCGAACAACATGACCCTCAACATGGAGGAGTCAGTTTGACTCACTTCACTTCAGTGACCATTGAGATGCATTGAGATTTTCAAACGTCGCCAGATCGAAAAAAGGTCTTCCATCATGTTGCTTTTATTTCCCGACCTGTCAGGTGATCAAACAGCTAATGAGGAAAGAGTTCACCCTGGAGTTCTCCAGAGACAGGAAGTCAATGTCCGTCTACTGCTCACCTGCCAAGTCTCCCAAAGCTTCTGTCGGGAACAAGATGTTTGTCAAGGTGAGCGCTGTTTCATTGACTGTAAATATATAAAGTCTCAGTTTATTGGATCCTTCTTGGTCCTTCTCATCCTAAAAAAGACAACTCTAAGCTTTAGTTTCTTGGATTAATTTTGGATTAATTTCAGGGAGCTCCAGAGGGCGTCATCGACCGTTGTACCTACGTCAGAGTTGGCACCACCCGTGTGCCTTTAACTGCACAGGTCAAAGACCACATCATGTCAGTCATCAAGGAGTGGGGGACGGGGCGTGACACTCTGCGCTGCTTGGCTCTGGCCACCTGCGATAGTCCCCTGAAGAAGGAGGAGATGAAACTGGAAGACTCCACCAAGTTTGCAGACTATGAGGTGAGTCTGAGAGGATGGGAAGGAAAGACTTAAGACATGCAGAAAAAAAAACAACCCCACAGGAAACTGAACCTTGTTTCCCATCATCCTCAGACCGACATGACGTTTGTGGGCTGTGTGGGCATGCTTGACCCTCCTCGAAAGGAAGTGAGCAGTTCCATTGAGCTGTGCAGAGCTGCCGGCATCAGAGTCATCATGATTACTGGTCAGTAGTTGTTTGTTTGTAATCAAACCTTTTCAATGTGAACCTTCAACACAACATAAGGATTNTCATTTTACATCCTTTCTCCTTAGGTGACAACAAGGGTACCGCTGTGGCCATCTGCCGCCGCATCGGCATCTTCAGTGAGGACGAGGATGTCACCAGTAAAGCCTTCACCGGTCGCGAGTTTGACGACCTCTCTCTGTGCGATCAAAAGAACGCCGTCAGAAAAGGCTGCTGCTTCGCCAGAGTTGAACCGTCCCACAAATCAAAGATCGTTGAGTTCCTGCAGGGCTTTGACGAGATCACGGCCATGGTGCGTAGACAGAGCTTTAGTTAAATACTCTTCCCTGCATACCAGTCCGCTAACACAATCTGTGGGTCCCACATGTCCTCCCTGTCCACCACTCAGACTGGAGATGGAGTGAACGATGCCCCTGCCTTGAAAAAGGCGGAGATTGGCATCGCCATGGGCTCTGGCACTGCCGTTGCCAAGTCTGCCTCTGAGATGGTCCTGGCTGACGACAACTTTTCTTCTATTGTGTCTGCTGTTGAGGAGGGCAGAGCCATTTACAACAACATGAAGCAGTTCATCCGCTACCTCATCTCCTCCAATGTTGGCGAGGTCGTGTGGTGAGTTCTGGACGATCGTATTACTGTGACATAAGTCAAGGGTTGATTGTGTAAGTACTTTGGGCTGGTGGGTGATTCTGTAAGTCCCTCCATTTTCACACCTAATTTAGTTTTCACATGCCTGTGAATTGAAATACTATTGAGAACCTGATAACACTGTATATTTTTTATCTTTACAAACCACTGTATGAGTTGCTGCCACCTAGTGACTGGAGGCTTGTTATCATTCAAGCATTACAACAGTGTTACACTTATGTCCGGTGTGCCATATACCACTGGAAGCCCCTCACGCCCCCCCTGGCATCTCTCCGCGTGCCCCCTATTTGAGAAGTACTGGCATAACTGAGCTTTTTCTTGACTGTTATATCTTGCAATAACTCGTTTGAACAGGTGAACACATTTTGGTTAGCACCAGACTTACATCTAGGCTTAAAACTAAAACAGTTCTTCACCATCACTGAGACTGAAAATTGTTCCTCTTCCTCAGTATCTTCCTCACGGCTGCCCTTGGTCTGCCCGAGGCTCTGATCCCTGTCCAGCTGCTGTGGGTCAACCTTGTGACTGACGGTCTTCCTGCAACTGCACTGGGCTTCAACCCCCCAGACCTGGACATCATGGGCAAAGCTCCACGCTCCCCCAAGGAACCGCTCATTTCCGGCTGGCTCTTCTTCAGATATCTGGCCATTGGAGGTAAAGTTCACTGACACGAGTCAAAGAGTTGACCGGGAAAAAAAAAACCCCACATAAATAAAACCTCAGTAGTATCCGTTACTACTTTAACTACAAAACATGTCAAATCCAAAAGACCTTGTATTTTATTCCAGGTGTTTCCATGTCTTCCAGGTTATGTCGGTGCTGCCACTGTAGCAGCTGCCGCCTGGTGGTTCCTGTACTGTGATGAAGGACCAATGGTCACCTTCTACCAACTGGTGAGTGTGGACTTTTATCTGTTGTACGTGGCAACAGCTGCGACAGTATTTGAAGGACATTTCTCTCTGTCTTCCCTCAGTCCCACTTTATGCAGTGCAGCGAAGACAATGAAGATTTTGAGGGCATACACTGTGAGGTGTTTGAGGCTGCCCCCCCCATGACCATGGCTCTGTCTGTGTTGGTCACCATTGAGATGTGCAACGCTCTTAACAGGTTGGACTAAAAAAACAAATTGCAGGTTGTTCAGTTTGAAAAAAGCTTTTGCCGTGATGTAAGATTTTTCAGATTTTTCATGTATATCTAGTTTTGTGCATCCACCTCAGCACACATGCATTACCCCACTTCCATCTCCACTTCACTTCTCCTCTTCCTCACCCCCCAGCTTGTCTGAGAACCAGTCTCTGGTTCGCATGCCCCCCTGGAGCAACTGCTGGCTGATGGCTGCCATGACCCTCTCCATGTCCCTTCACTTCATGATCATCTACGTCGACCCCCTGCCCGTAAGTCTCACCTCTTGCACCTACATCACTCCCCCGCACTTACCCGTCATGCACACGTTTGTGTTCTCTCACACACGGCTTTATCCTGCACATTCACTGATTGGTTTGTCTCTGTCTGAGAACATTCTGAGCAGCGGACGTCATATTTCTCCTTCTCTTTGTCTGGCAGATGATCTTCAAACTCACTCACTTGAACGTGGAGCAGTGGTTGATGGTGCTGAAGCTCTCCATCCCTGTCATCCTCCTGGATGAGCTTCTCAAGTTTGTGGCTCGTACTTATCTGGAGGGTAAGATGTTACACACGTCTCCTGCTAAATTATCTCTTCAGAAAGTAAAGAATTTAAATTCAGATGTCATAATGTAAAAATATAAAGACACCAACACTTAGCTCTAGTGTATTTGTCTCCAGTGCTAATGTTTGTATCCCAGTTGAGAGTGTTACACCTTCTTTTTTTACTCACATATTTATAAATTTAATTCACTTGTGTCAAATGGTTGAGTGATGTTCTTCACGATTCCCTTTTCTTGATGATGCAGCCTAAACAACTCCCTCCCCCTCTGTCTTACCCCTGTAACAAAACCAGGTATTACCCTGACATACATTAAAGGTGTATGCATGCTGCATGTGCATGTTAATACTGTGGTGTGCCCTAAGTTACCATTGTTCCCCTTTGAGTATATATATGTATTTTTCCTTATAAAATATATAAGCTTGGACTCTTGGACTATCATGGGTGGCAGCATATGATGGCTACATTTTACTGTGCAATGCAGCCCTGCACAGTTGGCAGTGGAAGTGTCAGAAATGCATCTTCTTGCTCTATGCTTTAAATAGTTGCATCTAGTGCCTGGTGCTGTCAGATTTAACACCGTTTAATACAATCGGTTATGTTGTTGAGCATGACACCAATGGGAAGACAGATAAGTTAGTTATCTTTATTTGAAGTTGAAGCAGCAGTTTGTTTTTTTTCAACTAACTCCGGAAATGTGAGCATTGTCCGCTCCTGCACTTCTCAACAACAAAACTCCAACGTCACCCAAACTAATATTCACGCAAAATCACTTTAGGGACTTAATTAACTTTGAGCTCGACGCCATTGTCCTTCGTCTGACTGGCGTCTGTTTGTCCTGCAGGAAAAGGTCTGTTTGTCCTGCAGGAAAAGTCTAGAGGTGAAATTTAAATGAGGGACAAAGAGAAGCACAGAGACAAAAAAGGATGGAGGGAAAAAAGGTGGAGCACTTCCACTGACGGCAAGTCGGCCGTCACTCATCTGATGTCATTAACCACCACCAGTGGCCTTAATATGTGCGCAAACACATAAGCCATCTGAAAATACAACAAAAAAAGCTGCAAATTTTTTTTCTGTGTATGTACTGAAATTAATATAATATATAGGTTAAAGTTATTAAAACTATTCTGTGTTGATGCTATTCTTAAAGAATAAAGGTACTGTATGTATTAAAAGAGACGTCAGCGTCAGTGGTAAATTCCCTGTTAATTATTTTGTTTGAATAGACCATGTATAAATATGGACGTAGTTTTCTGGTGTCAAAGTTTGTTATTCAGTTTAGAGGAAAACAAGCACTAAAGCAAAACTTCGAAGCATCCAATAAAACTCTGCTCATGGACTGTTATTGGATGATTTAAGCAAATGACCTACAACAATTGCCTAGAATTTACTGGAAAGTCCAGCTGTCAATCACAGGTCTCGAATTTTGCTTTATCGTCTATTTTCCTCTGAATAGGATCATAATTTAAAAGATTGCCGTCACTGTCAACTTACTGTGGGGACTCTTAGATTTAACAATAAAAAACTGAAAGGTGATTAAAAACGTCAACGGTTGCCCAGCTTGTATCCTAGTTGTTACAGAATCTCAAATCAGAAGGTTGCCAGTTTGAATCCCATGACCGACAAGACTGCGGTGTGTTGAACACCCACCAAAAACTCTGGTGCAGTAAAATGAAGCCCACTGTTGCTGTGTGTCCAGTGTCACTTCCACGGGCTAATTTTGTTGTGTGTAACAATCTGTACAATGACAAATGAATAAAGCTATTGACAGTTATGCTTGGGTGAAATGAAGTATATGCACAAGTCAGGTATCAAATGATGCAGAAGGGTGTTGGACCTATGGCAGGTCAGATACATCTGGGTTAGTTTCTCGTTGTTTAATTGGTCGTTTACGAAAAAATAGCAGAGCCGTGAAGAATTAATGTTAAATGACTCTGTAATTAACATGTTTGTGTTGGTTCTTGTTTATCCATCTTCATCTAGACAAATTTACAACCAAGTAACTTCATTGTTTTTTTTTCAAAGTTTGTCCTTGAAGAAAACAGACCTTAGCGTTTGGGTAAGAAATGTCAGCCGTAAACACAAACATGACCAGTTGTCTGCTACTAAACCTTCGACAATAGTCATCCGGTATATAACAGTTCCTGCTTAAGAAAAAAACACCTCGGTCAGATCAGGGTCAAGATCACAGGTTACAAAAAGAACACCTCGGTATTAAAGATCAGGGTCAAGATCACAGGTTACAAATTAAGTGTGTATTTAGTGCGTATTGATGAAAGAAGTTACACATTCACATTTTCTTCATATTTCCAATCAACAGTTTGATTTGAGCGTATGTAATTATTGATTACAGTTTTCCTGACTTGACAAATGCCAAAAACACAAAAAACAAACTAATAATAAATATAATTGTCTAAAAAAAAAAAAAACAGAAAAAAAAAAACAACTGAAATGCAGTCTATTTTGAATTCATTGTTCCACAGAGTTGTAGTGCAGCGTGTGCGTAAGAGAGAGAATGATTGTGTGGTCAAAGTCTGAGTCACTGTTAAACTGTCGAGTGTCAGTTTTATCATCAAAATATCTTCATGTTTAAGTAGAGTAAATGTATGAAAACTTGGTTTCTTTACTTTGGTCATTAAACAACACTGTCGAGTCTTCCCGGAAGTGACATCATCACGTCCTTGACAAGCACATCTGTGGTGTCATAATACTGACTCCAGTGTTTTAACATGGCTGTGGTCAGTCAGCCATTAGTGGTCACTTTGGAATGAACGTTCTTCGTTCTTGGTCCATTGTCTTTAATTTCTGTCTGAAACTCACGAGGCGTCTGCGGGGGGAAAACGATCGTCGCCGGCTCCCTCTTCCAGGATTTCCTTGACCTGATCCAGACTCTCAGCCTGACGAATCAACTCCAGCTTCACCTGAGGAGGAGAAGGTGAGGAAGGGTTGGTCAATAATATAAAAACTGCACAAATACGGCAGAAAATACGTTTTAATAAAATGATATTCAACTGTTTATTTTTGGTTCAACAGGGGGTTCCACAGCTCTGAGTCGACTTTAATATAAAACGCAATTTTATCCAATATCTTGAGAAGATGGTCTCTGTTCTATCGCACCAAAACCTCCATACTGTAAGGTAAGATCCCTGGTCATTTGTCACCATCAACACTTTTACTGTATATTTGATCAATAACCTTCACTTTTCACACATTTTATACTACCTATGAATAAACGAACGACTAACAGCCAATAACAAGTACGCATCCATGTCCTCTGTGTTCAAAGACTTAACTCTCAACTTTGGCCCTTACCTGCAGAGACTGGGACAGCTGGACAAAGTCCCTCTGGACAGTCTGACTGGTGTCCACCTGGGAGCGTAGGCTGATCACTTGACTTCGTAGCTCCAGACACTGTTGATGTAGGGCTTCCTAACACAGACAACCAGTCATATTAAATACATCAGTGAGAAACTTAGCAGCTGACATTGAAAACATCAACGTTATGTTTTGTGCTGCAGCACTTTCTGGATTTACTTTTTCTTTGCTAAGAGTCCTGCTGGTGCCCTGTACGTGAGAGAGCGCCACCCGCAGAGCATCCAGTTCAGAGCGACAGGCTGCCAGTTCAGCCTGCGCCTGGTCTTTCTGAGCCTGGATCCTCTCTGTCTCCACCTTGAGGCTGGTCAGCTGCACTGCACACATAGAAAGAACAGAATAAGCTCAATAAGAAAAGATCAAATGTTTAAAACTACATTAATACATTTTGTGTATTTAAGTTATTTTACCATAAAAAATTAAAGAAATAAAAAATAGATATAAAGAGAATGAAACACGTGAAAAAAAAAATCCGACTCGTTCACTCACCTTCTAAAACCTCTGATGAAAGGTAATGGCCATTCCAGCAGAATATGATGGTGAAAAGGAGACAAACAATAAAGTCAACGACTGAACAGCACTGCACAGCCAAGGAGCTCAAATCAAATGAATATTGACAAACCATTCTCCTCTGCCCGAGTGTCCAGCTGCTCTCTCAGGTTCACTATTTCTATCCGAAGTCGCTCCTCACAGTGCGCCCCCTGCAGAAAAGTCCATTGATAGGATGAAGTACTAACGCAATCTGTATTTCGGTACTGTCAAGAATTTCCAAACATGCTTCATACAACAAAAAATAAAACGTCCGTTAAATACGTTAATAAAAATCGATTCTTTGTCAGTAATTCATAAAAACACAGACAATTTTTTTTTTAATAAAAATCGATTCTTTGTCAGTAAGAGTGAGAAAGGTGAATCAGGACAGTAGCTTATCTAAGAAACAGCTGTTGAGTTCCATTTAGTTTTATCTATCTATAACAGCAGAGTTACCTGCAGCGCAGCTGCGAACAAACTGCTGGAGTCCTCCACCTCGTCCTCCACCTCCTCTCCTTTCAGTCTGGACAACTCATTACACATCTTTCTCTGGGACAAGGACAACTCTGCCTGGATACACAAACAACAAAAGTCTCCATATTGTGTTAAAGGGAAAACACACACACAAAAAGAGTCACTTGTGTATCACTAACCAGCCGGCTCTGCATGGCATTCTGCGATTGGCTGAAAGATTTCTGCAGATCCTGAAGCAGGCCCTCTGAGCTCTTCACCTGACACTGGAGCGTCGTCACCTGCACAAACACAATCACTTACATGGGTATTCAGGCTGTGAGTGGCAGTTCATGTCCGCTAATGATCTAGACACAGTGTATGGGTATGTGCGTGTGTGTTTAGACCACACTCAATTAACCCACCTGCTTGTGTGTGTGATTTGTTTGTGTGTCCAGTTCCCGCTCCAGCTCCTCCTTCTCAGCTTGCAGCCGACTCACCTCCCCCCGCAGCTCCGACAGCTGTCCAAGGGATTGGGAATATGAAGACATGTTTTCAGAGGATGACGAAATGGAGACATATTAACAGTTTTTCATACACAATTAGTGACTTACCTGAGCATTTAGTGCATCCCAGTCACTGTGTGTGACCAGACGGTGTCCAGCAGGAGGAAGATAAATGGCCTCCGGCACCAAAGTTCCTGTGGACACCAAGGAGTCCGTGTCTTCCTGAGAGTGGCGTTTCCTGGGCATGGACGGCGTGTCCAAGGAGAAGGAGGATAGTGATGCTGAGTCGCAGGAACGAAGTGCAAAATAACTCTCCGATGAAAGCGAGGCTGCTTCTGCTGCTCCGTCAATGTCAGCTGTGTGGCCCTGAGGCCTGTTCAATGTCTCCGCCTCCGTCTGACTGTTGTTGATGGAAGATGAAAGTTCTTCAGCTTCCATTCTACCTTTCCTTCCACTGACCTGAAAGGAAGCAGAAAAATAGACACTAAGAGTGACGTGGAAAACACAAACAAATTAAAAAATGAACAGAAGGTTGGACACTGACCAGACTGTGTGCACTGCCTCTTCTCCACTCCACCGGATGAGACTGGAGCACAGCTATCCTGGCCTCATACTGAGCTGCAGTCTCTGAAAAACACAACAACAACAACAAAACATTAAAAAATAAACTAAACTGAAAGTCTAGACTGCTCTTGTTTTCTTTTTAATCTAACACCTTCTGACATTATAGTACAACAACTTCAAACTTTTTGACTTTTATATATGTGATCACAAAATATTGTCCTTTACAGTTTACACTACTGACATTTACACAGTCAGTACTGTCTGTTGTTGGCCCTGTTTATCCAGTAGATTAGTAGAAAGCTAAAGATGAATAGGTGGGCGGAGTCTGACGTGTGGACTGAAGTACTGCTGGGATACAGCTGTTTGGTTTATGATGACAAGCAGGGAAACACATGACAGTATTGTTGTTAATAACTAAAACCAGAGTCATGGATGTAACTGTACGGCCCCACAGGCGTAAAGAGGTAGAACTGGTCTAAATCCACAGAAGGTAAAAATTTACAGCAGAATATGTTCTTCTAAGTTATTGCAGTCAACACATACAGTTTGACTTCTCCCTGAAATTAGAACAATGACATTTAAGACAATTCTAATAATTCTGATTCCAAAAAAGTTCTTACTTCAACATAGTTCTGTAGTTGACAGTAATTTGTGCTATAAAAGGTGACAGACCAAGAACCAGAACTGTTTTAAATTCAACAGCATGCCACAGCAACAAAAACACAATACCCAACCCTTCAATACAACTGAGTTTCATTGTTCTAGTAAATATGCAGTCTAACCTGTGAATGAGGCATACGTTAAACCTTCAGGAGTATTTTTTACTTCTTCTATGAGCTTTTTTATTATTATTCTGAGACTGCTATAATATCAGAAGAAGAAAACAAAGCTAGCTTTGCTGTTGTTTCACACACAAGTACACTGTGTGGTTCTGACATCGGGCTAATGATTTAGAATCGAATGTCTCGAAAGACAGTGTTTGGCAATTGGAATTAAGATGGTAGTGGATATAACGAGTAAACGGGAGGAATACTGAGACAGGATATATATTTTTCCTTTCAAAAACTTTTTAACACTAACATATAAGCAAACGAAGAAATCAAGACATTTACACTCACCTCTGAGCGCCTCCTGCAGAGACTGAATCTCTTCATCACATTGTTTCTGCAGCTCTGCCAGTTCCTCCTGTTTGCTCAGCTCACAGATGGTCGCCACTCCCTGCCAGTGTTCAGCCTGAGCTCGGTACTCAGCTAGTTGGGCCTGGAGGCTCGCCTCTGGGGAAATGACAAAAACATACCCTGAATGTTAATAAACCCAAGGTGAAGTAACACTAAGGATGATTGACAGTCGATGACTCTTGAGTCTTTCCATGAATAAGACAGGTCTGTTTTCAGTAATAAGAAAAGAGTAAAGCCTGTGTGACAAATTGATTTTTGGCAATCCAATACAAAACATCACTTTTCTATTTTTGTAACGAAATGACAAACTTTTATCATTATTGTATTGACGCAACGGGGGCTAAAAAAACGTATTTTGTAAAAATAATTTCGTTCAAAATAAATATCAGCACGTATATGCCAGGATTGTGAAGCAAAACTAAAAGAGAAACTTGGGTGATAACGAAGCTGAACTCTCGCGATAATTTGATGGATACACGTCTAATTAAAAGTAGCTTCGACTTAGTTAGCATAGCGGTTAGCAGCGCCCGTCTATTAACACCAAACGAAGCTAACAGGTTGTTCTGTCAAACACCAACAAACATTGACCAAAGACATTTAACAGCTTTATCTTTACTGACAAATACAATTTTATATGAGGTAACTGTCACCGCACAGCGAGGCTCACCAACCTTCAGTGAGATTAAAGTTTAACAAATTGTTTTTTTTACCTGCGTCTTCATTCTTGGAACTCATCTTCCAGTCAGACAGACGGGCAGCTCAGGAGGTAAAGAGAGAGGCGTTGATATCAGGGCAGGTCATGTTTTTAAAATCTGTTTTGTCTAATTTTCTTCTACCAGCAGCAGGGACTGTAGCATAAAACGGTCCCTTCCCAGTGACAACTTCAGGAAACAACTTTCCCCGGTTCGAGCCTGCGGAAATCACGTCAACATCCTTCCTGTTCTCAAATACCTTTCCACCCAGTCTGCCTGGAGTTCTGGTTCTTTGTGCTTCGTCAACAGAATTGATTTTTATCTGCGGTTATTAAGACAACGTCTGTTGCATGACATTTTAATGCTGTATGTGCAAGATTCATATATTTTACCCACACACTGGTGACCCCTGGAGGCCACTGAGGTACAATTCGGACCACATTTGATTCTGCTAAACTTAAGAACTTCCCTCGTAAAATAAATACACGCATTAAAATAGTCAGAATGTGAATTGGGAAAAATTAAAATGTTTTGGCTCTAAAGAGTATGACCTAATCCTGGGCTACACCTTGAAACAGTGGTAATTACTGATGAACTTTGTTCCTTACAGCAAGACCAAGCCCTGTTCTTATGCATCTCCCTCGCCCCTATTCTTCCCATGTGTGCAGGTGTTCCGCCCTCGTCCCTATTCTTCCCATGTGTGCAGGTGTTTTTCTGCTATTAGACTAATTGGATGCACCTAAAATTGACTGCAGGTGTGAATGGTTGTTTATACATGTGACCCTGCAAGAAAGACCCTGGGAAACTCCAGCTTGACCGGCATTGTAACTTAAAGAGCAACCAGTAGCATTGTGTATAAACCGTACCAGTCCATTCTTCATCTACCCCCCACCCCCTCAAACTCACCATTGACACATCACAGAAAGGCCTTGTCAATTAATATAAATGTATTTTTATTATTCTATTGTAATTAAAAGTCGTACAAAACAGGACAGAAAAAGTTCAAAGTTGAGTTAGTCACTGATAAAAAAGATACCATTGTAGTGACAGGAATTGTGCAGAGAATTCTATGCATTATTACACAGACCATCATGATGTAAATCTGTATCTTGATACTAAATTCATGACACAAAGCAGAAAAACACTAGAACTGTTAAAATGCTGGTGAGATTCTTTCAAAGCAGTAACTCCATGACTAACGTACAAAGTGACTTCCTTTAACCAGTGCTACGAGTCACTTAAGGGCACACAAAACACAGTATTCTACAATAAAGTGATGCTATAAATAGTTTGCAATCATTTAAATAAAAATGAAAGTGGTTTTCTTGTAATAGTCACAGGATAATTCATCAATAACAGGAGTTTATGTGGCATCAGGCCAAACACTGCAGTGAGAGTTGTTCCACAGTTTGTACAAAGCTAAGATGATTTAATGGTTTTGACCCATTCGGGTTTTACAGTGTCGAAAGCATCAGAATTTGTACCAACCGTGTTTTCCATTTAATGGCACACAAGGTCAACATTACACATCATCATTGTCTGCTGATCATCATGAGATTTCTGCAGCGAACCTTTCATCTTCTTTACAAATCCATGTCCTGATCGCTGACACTCTGACGGAGGTATTCCTCATAGAGCTTTTTCTAAAAGGGGAGAAAGTGAGAGTTAGATGTACTTAGAAGCAACCCTTTTATGGCTACTATCTTTCTGGACGGGCATATTTAACCACACCTTTTTGCTCTTGACTACCTCCTGAACATAGTCCAGCTTCTCCTGTAGCTGCCTCTTCTGTTTGCCCGACAACGTAGGTTTGGTCCTGTTAGATTTCAAAGGGAGACAAATGTAACTGTTCAGGGTATTAAGATGGAAATAGTGTTACTGTGTGGCTTAAATGTGGCTTTCATAAAACATTTCTAAGTTTACAAACCACTTTCTTTTGTGGCAAATCAGGAGTTTTTTAAAATTATAATTCAGACAAATTACTGACAGTACTGACATTTGTCTCTCTTACCTAAAGGCAAAGCGTGCAATGATGAGCAGCAGGAAGGAGAGAAGGACGAGTCCACCACCGAGATAAAGCTGCTGCTCCACAGAGAAGGAGTCTAGTATTCTGGCTATGGGAACCTGTAGATATAATCCCATCAGCTTGAATGAGACGGATGATGGATTTCAATAGATGAGTGTGACTGTGTTCCTGCCTGGACACTCACCAAGTATAATGAGAGTACCTCTGTACCCTGGGGCCCCAAAGCCATGTTCAGCAGATCTTTGGATAGAACTCCCAGTAACAGTAGAGCCATGATTACCATGGGAACGCTGAAGCCCAGGAGTGTCAGGAAACAGCTCTTACAGCGAGCTCGTCGGTTCTGAGAAGTGACCTGTCTGTGAGAGAAGAAAACAAGTAACATCCTCTGAGCATCATCATTCATGTTACTCTGTGTGTGTGTGTATTCAAGTGTACCTGTCATTTTTGAGTGTATCCGTTATGGCCTCGCCGATGAGCTCACAGTCTTTCTCCAGAGAGTTGAGGGTGTTCTGAACGGTCTGGTTAATGGTTTTTTCAATGGTACGACACACTTCCTCAATTTGGTTGACACAACGACTTGGCTGCATAGGACGATAACGGTCATGAAATCTGTCCAATGAGTATCTACATTTATAAAGCCTGGTGTCTAAAATCCTACCTTGTTAGGATTGGGGATGTAGATAGTGGGCATGTCAAAACCACATTTGTTGAGTCCCGGCCTCTTGCAGAGCTCCTGGACAATCTGCATCATCACTCTCTGGAGAAAAAAAAATGACCCAGTAGAAAAGGTGTTGGGGCATTATTTGAAAAAAAACACAGACACAAAATGTCTGAAACTTATTATGTTCACCCTAAAAACAAACTTGACATGCTTTGAGCAATGTTCATTAAAAAAAAATAAATGTCTGAAACTTATTATGTTCACCGTAAAACAAACTTGACATGCTTTGAGCAATCTACACATTTTTTTATCATGAAATCCATACAGGCCCTGTAATACCAAATGTAATATTGCACCTCTCCCCCACTCGTTTACCTGTCTGTCCGACTCTCCTCCAGCTTCATCAGCCTTACTGAGGTAAAAACGGAGCTTTTCCCCATGTTTCTCATTCAGACACTCAACAATGTTCAGGGTGCGTTTGCACAGAGCCTGGCCCATGGGGTCAAAGAAGACCAGGATCAGGTCACAGAGATCACCTGCGACAGACAGCATGAATGATAATTATAAACATATGACTGATTTGTATAAAAGGTCACGACGGTATGTTTTTTTAACCTTCCTAGTGATGTTTGTTATAATGGTGCATCAATGTTTAATTTAGAAAAAATATTTTTGGCCTACAAACGTAATTAACTTGCACAAAACTTTTCAGAACCCACCTTTTCAACATGACTCAATATGTAACATGAACTAAATTTTCCAACATTAAGTCTAAAGTTTACACCTTAATATTCAGTGTTTGAATATTAACTGACGTACCCAGCCAGAGGATAACTTCATCTACATCAAATGGATACTTCATGTCACCATCCACCAAACCTGGTGAATCTGCGAAGGTTACAAGGCTGAAGCGTTTCTGCCTGGACGTGCAAATCTCTGTGCTCAGGTACTCTGACACACCTGCATATGAAAGGGGAATTGAAATGAGGGAAAACCGTGATACATCTGGTGGCTAGTGAACAAGATGTTGATGATCTCACCTCTGAACTGTTGTAGGGGTTTGAAGTGTGGATACAGGTGAAGAGTGGCATTTCCCTGAATGAAAAAAAGAAAGATAAATGTTGTTTTTAATAAATCTGAACAGCTACAAGTTCTTGTAAAAACAAAAATGTAAACTGTAATCTGTTAAAAGTTAATTTAAGTGAATGTCCATTTACTTACTGTGAGAGATTCTCTCTTCCGCCCACTGGTGACAAAGCTGAATCCCTGGGTCTCAATGGCCACTCCAGTGCGTTGGATGTGCTCCTCCACATACCTGAAAAAGAACATAGAGAGCATGTGTTGAGTAGAGGATGTTATTTTTTTTTAAAAAACAAAGTGGTGAAATGCTTGAAAAGCACATCATATACCAGTTGATGAAAGAGCTTTTCCCAGCAGAGTGGTTTCCCATCAGCATCACAGTGATCTTTTTCCTGGGCGCCAACAGCTTCAAACCAAGAGACTCTGCCACTGTGATCAACCCTGAAAGAATTTCCATCAGAATAAAAATTAGTTGAACCAATTTTTATTGAAATCTGCAAAATCTACAGTAATTGTACCACCACAAGTTGACAGCAGTGAATCAATGTTTGTTTTTTAATATATCATTTTGGAAGATAACCTCCAGAAAATGTGCATCTTTAGCCAGCACCTTATATTTGTGTTATCTAGAAATTAATACTACTAATTATACCATTAATAATAATAAATATCTATATAGTAGTAAATTTGTTTTACAAATTTTGTTTCATTCTTGTATAAAATTTACTTGTGGGGACGCATGGCTAAACTGCAAGGAAACTGGCTCAAAGTTAATATCACACTTAATCCACGTGACGCTTTTGTAAAGCACATTTTTTTAAAGGATGTGCAGCATTAGTTAACGGTTTGAGTGGTATGCACTGACCACGTCTGTGTCAACGTCACCCAAAATCTCGACAAAAAAATGCTAGTGGTTAGCTAACTGCTGCGTCGTGTTTATCACAAACTTGCTGTGTCTCGACTCTGTCTGGCTTTTCTGTTTAATTTGCAAAAACGTTTCAAGCCAATAAAGTTCTATGTGAAACTGTTAGCATCGGCTCACCACTGTCAGGGTCGGTGTAGAGCTGGTGACAATCCCTCAAGATGCGCTCATCGCAGGAAACACCGCCAGAAATCGAATCTGAGTTTGCGGCACTTCGACTCTTAATTTTCCCAGACATTTTTTAAGCCACTAGTCAAGTAAACGTTTTCCAGAGACTTCTCTTAAAGTGTAGTTCTAATGAAGGATTCCTCTGAACAAAGCCGGTTTGCCTAATTTGAATCGGCCCGGTCGGTTAAAACACTGTGTCAAGACGCAGCGCAGCCACGTCGTCAGCTCGTACGTCAGCAACTTTAAATGCACAGATTTGTGGGTAATGTAGTGATTGTGGGTAATGTAGTGCTACTGCCGTTGAGAAACTACTGAGTTATACTTATTTGTGCGACAATAAAAAGATAAATTATAAAATGGATGCTTTCACATAAAAACCCTATGCTGTACACCGATTTACAGTCCTGTTGCACTACTTATTATTGGTCTATACGTTTCTTGAAGACCAAATCGCACGTAAGCAAAATTTTCTGAGTAGGAGATTATTCAAATAAACCTAAATTATTAATGGCCAAAGGAGCAGCTACTAGTTTTTATTTACGATAGTACCACCACCCCTTAGCTAGATTTGTTGTCTTAACCTTGACTTGACGAATCAAGCCACCCTGAATTAAATAGTAACGGCAACGTCAATTCCTGCTAAATCACCTTTTCGTTTACTCGCGTAGCAATTTGCATGTGCTTTCACTCATATACGCAAACGCAGTCAAGTGCAAATACACAAACATCACAGCGGTGTTAACATCATACAGCCGTTCACCGTCACACTATTAAACTATTAAAACTTTGTCTCCAAACTAATGTGATGATACCACAGTGGACACCATACAGTTCTAAAGTCTGTTCAGCTATGATCTCAAATAATGACACAGTTGCACAGTTTAACTTCATAAAGATTTTTATAGCATACTGAGGTGTATGTGTGATAATTATTTCAGTTAATACTTCTTTTATAACATTTTGTCCAAACATTTTCCAAGTTCTTCATCATATTATCTGGTCAGTCACTTTTCTTTGCTTTGAACAAAGTGAACAAAAATACAAGAAAAGATAAGCGATTACATTATAGAGCACTGTACCTCACCTGGTATTATTCTGCAATTATACCTGATTACTGATTAAAGCTTATTTGCATTCGTGTGTATTGTCCTTGTTAAGTTTCCAGTGGACTAAATAAGTTTTCTTCAAACTAATTTGATCTTGTTTATTAGACGTTGGCACCGATTTGACGGCAGAAGTGTTTGGATCGGTACTTCGAACAGATGGATACCGCTTCATGCGTAATTGACTGCAAACTGTGTGTGAGATGACAAATGTATGCAAACACTTGGAGAAGCCAGGCTGTGCTCAAATGTCAGTACACTGCTCTTCCAGCACATCTTCATATTCTATTTGCACGTAAACATCAACGTCACTCTGACTGTTCCTTTCACACTTACATTAATGTTGTATGTGTTATGTTGATCATCTCATTGTGGTCGGGTTCTTATGAATCACGGAATAAATGAACATAATTCATTATAATTATGGTGCTATTTCACCAGTAATATAAAAGCTAAAGAGCAGCTTCAACGTTCTTGGAAAACATTGATTTTTACACATGCATTAACATGGAGTGAATCACGTTTTGGTAAAGAAATAGTTTGCATTGGTTATATTCTTTTTATAAGTTTGCAAACTTTAATAGTATTAAAGCCAAAATGAACTCTTTCACTCTGGCACTGCTCTGGTCATATTTTTGAACCAAATTTGAAAAAGGCCAGTCCATTCTCAGCGCTACTGTATCTGAATACTGCAGATTTTACCTTCACACTGTTATGCTGGAAGTAAGCATAAGAGTAATAGGGAAAAACAATGTACAAACAATAAATAAATAGATGAATTTTTATCTTCTTAATAATGTTGAGGTTTGTTAGCAATGTAAGTAGCTCCTAACTGTCCAGAGAAACTGATAGAGAAGCAGTAGATGACAAAACAACCAAATGCTGGACACTCCACAGTCCTTTGGTCCTTTTCACTAAAAGCACCGTGGTTCTAAATATAACCAGAGCATTTACTGTAGTTGTTTAAGTTCCTGTCAGTGTGAAAGAGTTACAATCTTCATTCTAGTTTTTTGCACAATATGCTTTCACTGTGAAACATTTGCTTATAATGATTGGATTAATGAGCTTCACATAGTTAGGTATCAAGCATATGAATTACAAGAGCAATCCTAGCACAGAGAGTAATTGTTAATGTCCATACATTTCCTTCATCCAGTTCTCGGTTTGGTTACCAGTGAGCTTTCCTCTCTTTGGCAACCAGCTCCAGAAAATGAGAATGATTGGCATAGAGGGCCAGCGACGAGTCGAGGTCCACCCACTGGACTTGTCCTGCGTCGTCACCAGCTTGTAGTGGCAGTTCACTCACACTGTTACCTACGGTGACAACACAATTAACTCCAGTCCTGCAGTAATACGGTCTGAGACATTCACACTACTCCATTGATCAATTATGCAATTATACTGGATATCAATTAAAGGTTGTGACAGTTGTAGCATAAATGGTAGGCTCCATTTCTAATTAATATATAGATAGCACTTTCTTTTCCTTTACTGATACCTGATTCATCATGGAAGTTGACTGCTACTGTCTCCATCCAAGCATTGTCTGTGTTCCTAGGATCATCCACATAACCTTTATAGACCTGCAAGAAAATAAAAACAAAGATATAGTTTGGCTATTTAAAGAAAGTGTTGAAAAAAGTCACACTTCCAATTGTGGTTATAACTGGTCAACCTGAAACCCTGGAGATTTGAAAAGTTTGTTGATGCGCTCCTGGATTTCCGCCCTTTCCGATGGTAAAACAGCAAGAGAGTTTAAGGCCTCTTCAGAGAATTCCCTCTGCAGCGTCAGAGAAATTTGCTCCCCTGGATCCACCATCCCCTATAACAGGAACACACAACAATAAGTGTATGACAATACCTATGATTAAATCTAGTGAAAAAGACTAAACAAATCTTTATGCGGCAGAGATGTACCAACACGTCCTATCAACAAACTTTAAAGTAAAAACCACCAACCCCAGGAATTGCCCACTCCCCACAGTCCTTCCTTTTGATGGACACAAACTGAAGCACAGGTCGTTTGGACACTGGATGATGGACCTTCGCTCCTTTGGCATCAACTTTCCACCTGTCAGACAGTGACATTCTCTTACATGAAGGGGTAAAAACGTCGACAGGCCTTAAAGCATTCTTGTGTTAAGAAATTATAGAGGACACAGTATAATGAGCTATCGTGTACTGCATGTGTACAGCCTGTAACACTTACCTGGTGACAATGGGATCAGCTGCATGATTAGGTCCCCATCGCCCCAGCAGGCCTCTACCAGTCAAGCCAGTACGTCCACGAGGATTTCTGAATGAGAAAAAAAATAGCTAAACATTTGTGTTTTCATAAAATTAAAATATAATGAACATATTTCATTGTGTGTGACAAATGGACAAAAAAACACAACTAAAATACACATTTTGGGAGTGTTAATGGGAGTATTGTTCTCAGTACCAGTAACTTACAGTGGTTTTCCCATTTCCACGTTGTAGCTGCCCTCAAAGCTTGTTCGGTCCACGTTACCATCCACGCAGTTGAAACGTGGATGGAAAGAGCTAAAAAAAAAAAAAAAAAAAAAAACTCTTTCAAAACCAGAACACGCTAAAAAAGCAACAAAAAAAAAATTAAAAAATCTATTAATTGCTCTTTTTGTTGCTCACCCAATATCTGGATCTGCCCATGCTGGTTTATTTGTTACTGAAGGGGCAGTGTAGCTGACCGGACTGTACTGGGGCCACTTCTGACTCCAGTCTACATTGGCGTCAGGCACCGGGAAGCGTTTGACATTGGATCCTGGGTACTGAGGGCATCTGGACTTTACATGAGGCACTGCGGAGGATGGCATCATGCAGATACTGGCCATTTGGTGGTAAAAGAAACTAGAAGAGATTGGTCTGATCGTATGACTGGTTTTGAAGGGATGAGAAAATGAGCAGGAAACAGCAGACCTGCAAGGGAAGAAACATGAGACATAATGTTGATCTGACAGCCTTCCCAGCAGCTGCGGCAACAGGAGCAGAAGTGTGGACCTGGTGCCACCAACCGCCCACTTCTTGCCAAGTGGCTCTGCGGCAGATTTGGAGAAACAACAATCCTCCCATGGGGTAAAGCCTGTGTTGTTGCATTGGGTCATATTGCTTTGAATGGGGCATGAATAAACTATTGTTTGGGTGCTTTATTTAACTCACAGAACTTATTTACATCCAGAATTCTATTACATTTGGTCAAGCTCTTGACATGGTTTTACACAACTCCTCGACACCTGAAACGTATTAATCACTACAGTGACAGTGCAACAAATAACTCTTTCACATTAACTTAGTACAGTTCAATTGACTTCTTCGGCGATTGACAGATTTATTCCTCTTGACAGATTCAGAGGACAGACACATTAGTCTGCCAAACGTATGCCTTTGCACAAGGATACAATAATTATTGTTGTTACACTTGATAGTGGTACGAAACTTCTGATTACAGTATTAATACTGATTGAATACACCTGCCCTTTAACCTATAACTGTGTTGTTACAGCAAAACGTTAAAGATGCTGCAGAACAAATGTGACCATACCAAACTCCAGGAGTGTAAGCGGTGCGCGGAAGACTAAAGAGGGTGAGAACAACCCGAATCGGTCGAATCCAGTTTGTTCGCAGACAGAACGGAACCATTCCTTCTGGCAGAAAAACGATCAACTGCACAACATGCGGTCACTGACAGTAACCAGGAAGTACGCCGCCCCACGTGATGACGTATCACGGCGACGCATTGTCGCTTCAAGCATTGTATTATGTTTCCTTGGTGACTGCAAGGACATTTATCACAGCATTTTATTATATATTATAGTACTATACATAATATATTAGCACAATTAAACCCGTTTTTTAAAAACAATGCTTTAAACTATACATATTGATACAAGCAAATTTTCAAAGAGACAAAAGACAGACAAAATAAATACACTGGTTTACCTCGGAAAAGTTGGATCCTGTTTAAAATGAGTCCTCAAAATTGAAATAAAAATCTTGGCCCTGTGATTTTTCTTTTGAAAAGCAAAATATTTTCTGTGTGCGTTTTTAAAGTTATGACGTACGTAGCGTATATTAATATTACATTTTATAAATAATTTAATTAAATAAAATAAGGAAAAGGGTTGTTAGGCGTTACAAACATTTTTAGACTAATGCAAATATATTTAATACAAATATATACATCAGTGGAATCAATTATATTCAAAAATACGTAATAACAAAATAAAAAAGACAAAAAATGCAAAACAAAATCAATAAATTGACATTCTCTACCATAAAATGTTGTTTTCGACACATCTAGGAGCATGCACCACACATCGACACGCCCACTCGTGAATGCTGCGTGTTTGTTTAGCAGGTTGCACTTCTTATGCATCAACTGTACATTTAAGCGGGCGGAGCCTCTGTATGGATCTGCAACACATGTTCTTGACTTCGCCCAATCGAACAACTCCTTAAAACGCATCAAGCGCACCTTGTATGAGAGCTGCGAGGCACGCGCATTTACGCTCGGTACTGAGGCCAAATCCCCGCTCGCTCACGAACTCCATTTGCAGTCTAGTAGTAGAGAAACCCAGAGCTCGGTTCTCTACTCCGACGGTCCGCACGGTTAAAGCTTCGAACAGACGCTGAACCGTACTGTGGGCAGCGGCGGTGGTCTCTCGGTGACACAGAGCTTCGGAGAGGATAGAATGGCGGATTCGAGCAGCTCCGCAGCAGTCGGGGGCGCAGGCTCCAACAGCGCTGCCGCTGCTGGGGTGGAGGGAGCTCCTGGAGCTGCGGGAACCAAGGCCGGGTCCGAGTCAGTCAAGGGCCAGATATTTGACGTAGGCCCCCGCTATACAAATCTGTCTTACATCGGGGAAGGGGCGTACGGAATGGTGTGGTGAGTTGTGTTTGTCTTCTCTTCTGGGCCACTGTTGTGTCATGAATCTGAATTGTTCTCAAACAGGAGCTGTTTGTTGGTAAATACAGTGAAAGGCAACAGATTCGAACCGCTGTGTGCAACAAGCGCCGCACTGAAAACCCAGGTGTAATTATAGCTGAGGAGCTGCTTATGGTTTAGACACTGTTTTAAAGCTCGGGTAGAAGAAGCCTGTCTGTCTTCAGAGTGGTTAGCAGGTTAGCCGAGTGGCTACAGGCGTGGCTATGAGCTTTACAGGAAACAAGATTGGGAGTGATTGCGCAGGACGCTCTCAGCTATCTGATCAGAAACCTTTTTGCAGCCTGCAGTTGACCGCAAATTCAGATCAATTATTGCAGCAGCCACTTTCTCTTTTGTGGCATTGTCTCTCACACTTAACACTTATGTCCACTCCACTCCCTGAGGCTGAGCCGCAGCAGAGGATGTCAGTGGGATTTGTCAGCTGTAGTGAGGCCTTTTCCCCTCTCTGTTAACGCTCTATCTGAGCTCCCAGCCCTGTAAGGAAGTGTGAAACAGTACAGTTTTTCCTGCTCCGAAGGCTGAGATTCGGACTCGCATCAGCTGTGACGCCTCAGTGTTTCAGTGCAAAATGTCAGGGTTGCGTGAGAATCGGGTCCACGCGTTCATTTCAGTAGAACAAGCCCTCAGAGATGAGCACTGTTGTCATCTCTGAGTAGGAGTATTGCAGCATTACTACAGTACATCGCTTCCATAAGCTCAACAACTCAAGGCTGGGTCGACACAGCACTCAGTATCAGTATTTGTTAGCTGGAAAAAAGATATCGTTATATAATCAATAAACACTACATATCACATCAGCCTGGGAATAAACGTGGCCTGAAGCCAGAGACACACCACATGCGTCAGCAGAAGGTTACAGTTCAGCTGCATATCTTCATCATCTAGTGTTTAAAGTTAGTTTACTGGAACCAGTGCCCTTATGTCAAACAGTACTGTATTTAAATCCACAGATGGGATTCATGGCACACGTTATGTATTATGTCATGTAAACACAAAACTACTTAAATGCAGATTATGTTCCTTATTTTTCTTTTTTTCTTTTATTTCGGCCACTTCCTGTCACTGCATCAATATTTATTCATCCTCCACTGAAGAGAGGGAAAACCTTTTAGCAGTTCTTACCATCATTAACCATCTCCCCTGCACAGGGCGCATTGTACTGCCGTCGTCCAGGAGTACACGGTAACATTATTGTTTCATAGAAATCAGATCATTTCACCTGGTTTAAAAATAAATTTCACTAGAGAACACAAGAAAACGCTTGGCCATGGCAACAGAGGAACTGTGAGCATCAGCACAGGTGTCTACGCAGGAATAGACTGATATCAGTACTGGCAGGCTGTCGTTAACCGATGGAGGGTGCAGCTATTCTTCTTTTTTTTTCTTTGCTTGATGGTCATTGTTTTGACGTAAATGGCTACACAAACCTCTGTCGTTTGTGTAAATTTTATGGTCACATGATAAGATTTTTTGAAAACAACACCCACTGGTTGGTACAATGACGGAAACCCTGATACGATCTAATTGTCAGATTGGCATCAAAATCAAAACAGAGCAATTCTTGCCCTTTTTCTCATGTTCTAGTTTATTTCTGGTTATGTGAATTTGCAAACTCTGTGATGTATGATGTGCAACAAGACAGCATTACAATTACCCAAGGTGTTTTGTAATTCTTCCTGTTGAGGGCGTGTAAACCAACTGTGACTTATTATTTTAAATAAAAAGGAAAATATGACATTAGAGCAAAAGCTTGTGCTTCCCAAGTTCTCAACTGATACAGAGAGGCACCAATCCAAACAGTTCTCAGCTCTGCCTCTTCTCCATACACTTCACACCTACACCACACCGACACTCGGGTCTGCACCTACAGTACTTCACATCGCCGCTGAAACGAGTGTGTCATGTCCATGGGAGCGGCTTCTGTGCGTCTCTCTACCACCCTCTGATTCTGATACCATCTGAACAGTGCGGAGTGTAACATGACACCTCTTTTGTGCTTTCTGCCTTGTTCAGCTCTGCCATGGACAACGTGACCAGCCAGCGTGTGGCAATCAAGAAGATCAGCCCCTTTGAGCACCAGACGTACTGCCAACGCACACTGAGGGAGATCAAGATCCTGCTGCGTTTCAACCATGAGAACATCATCGGCATCAACGACATCCTCAGGGCACGGCATATTGACAACATGAGAGATGTGTATCCTTTACAGGACGATCTGAATGCATTTGACTTTTTTTTTCCATTTCTTCTGTTGCATCATTCTCCTATTTCTCTCTAATCAACAAAACATCTTTAATTGCACAGTCTGAACTGCGTTATCAAAAAACACACACTCGTCCATGTGCAGAACCTATTGAAACCTACTGAATGTATAAGATTAACAGGGCATTTAAAGGGATAATCAGCTCTAACCTCTAGCATTAGCAGCCAATGCTAACCATGCCATTGTTTCACTCTTGACCCTCATTGAGTAATATACCATGAACCCCAAGGACTGTAAGTAACACACTTACACACCTAAAACATATTGTGCAGACCTTTATGAAACACGTATACATGAAAAATATACGTGTTCTCAGAGCAGTTTACCAGTAGGCTCTGGGCTTGGCTGCCCAGTGAGTCGCTGTAACCCGCTGCTATGTTTACAGTTTGTGAAAAGCTGCTTTGTTTCTTGGGAAACAGAATGAAAATGTATGATGTCTTTGTTCGTTTTCTTTTTTTCCCTCTCCGCTCAATCTGCCTGGTAACTACGCTTTTTGCATTATTGCTAATTTACAAAAAAATTATATATAATATATTATATATTTATATATAATATATTATATATAAATATATAATATATTATATATAAATATATAATATATTATATATAAATATATAATATATTATATATAAATATATAATATATTATATATAAATATATAATATATTATATATATATAGCTATATTACATATATTATATATGATATATAGTGATGGATATTCAGAAAAATAGAATTGATGCAAAAGATTTTCAAGTTAAATGATATGAGATGATGAGTTTACTTGACCCTTTTTATTTTTGTAGCCTCTTATTATAAATTTATACATGATGACAAATCTGTTAAAGTGAAGTGTTATTAGAATATCATCAGATTGGTTGACCAGCTGGAACATGTCTAGCTAATGAGACATTGTTGTGATGTAATATTTTGCTTAAGTTTATAAATTATAATTAAGTATGTTTTCATTTAAATTTCAGTTTAATTGAACAGCAAATGTGTGCTGGGAATTTTTGTTTTTATTAAAGTCTTTATTGAATCCATTTGTGGGCTGACCAGAAATTGGCCAGCTACATTCTTAAACACAGGTGTGGCCTGTCGGAAGTATACAACACTCTTTAGAGAAGCATTGAGTCCTGAAGTGAGAAGCTGCTCAACTACTTATTGTAGCCTGACTGATTTCACTGCCTCTCAGACAACCTGTGGCGTGTGAATACATGTTAAAACCGAGTACAACATGACGTATGCTCCACTGGCTCTCAGGCTGGGATTTGTAACTCATAAACTCCCGTTGCTGAATAAGGCAAAATAAAGAAACTGTGAAGACATTCCTGAAGCCGATTCTTGGCAAATACAATGTCTCCCGTTGTCCTCCTTGACTCCTGCGTCCCTGCAGCTACATCGTGCAGACCCTGATGGAGACGGACCTGTACAAGCTGCTGAAGAGCCAGAGGCTGAGCAACGACCACGTCTGCTACTTCCTGTACCAGATCCTGCGAGGCCTCAAGTACATCCACTCTGCCAACGTGTTGCACCGTGACCTCAAACCCTCCAACCTGCTCATCAACACCACCTGTGACCTCAAGGTCAGGGGCACACACACACACGGTCACGTTGTTGTTTTATTTGAATTCTGCCTTACATTAAGAGGGTCACAGGTTTACAGGGTTTGATCCCTAGTATTTCTAAATGCTGTTGGCATTTTCTCCTAAAATGTGTGTGTGTATGTGTGGGTCTATGTAGTTGTTTATCACAGTATTCCCACAGTCCAAAAAATATTACGTTAATTGTTTACTTGAAATTGACAATGTATACAAGTGCGACTGTTTTTCTCTCTAAATGGACTGGGAAACTTTTCAAGCTCTAACGTCAGCCCTCCCCCCAGTGACTGCTGGGAGAGGCTGCAGCTCCCTCTGTAACCGTAAAAAAAAAGGCAAAGCGGAAAAGGATGAAAGAACGTCCTGCTCATCAGCTACAGACTTACTCAAGTCTCCAGGCTACAGTTTTACAACTTTTTTTTTTGTGGGAAATCTTTTAGTCCATGCGAGTCAAAAATGTATGTTAGTCATACCATACCTACAGGTTATAAAAAATCACCAGATATAAAATATTGTAATATAAGTATAATTGACTTGAAATAATAATCTCTGGAAATATGAGGAAATAAAATCTCTGTATGCAGAGAACTGGACTAAAGGTAATCTGAGCTGATGGTGTTTAAGAACCACACTGAAAGAACTGTTCCCGACGACTGCATTTGTAAAACATAGAGGGAGAAGGGAGAGGCACTGATTTATGGTCATCACTAATGTTACTCAACATTTGCTGTAATTTTAAAGTCCACACGAAATGCATCAACCTCACGTATCTGTGAGCTTTGAGCCAACATGAGCCGTAACGTACTGTTCTCACAGCTTGTGTTTTATGTAACATTTGTACCAGTCGTAAAAAAGAATCCCAGGAATGTTGGATATAAGTGAGATATTGACCCCGATGGTGGAGTGTGGTGTGACCCTGCTACGATAGGAGGGTTTTGCGGGTTTTAGTGCAAAGGTAAAGATTTTCAGTCTTTAATTTTAACAACACTGGAGCCTCTGTTTCCCTGTTGTCTCTCAGTAAAACAGCTGGTTAGTTGATCTTTTGTCTCAGTTTGAGGCTTTAAATAGAAACACAAATAAATTACGAAATGCTTGAAGTTGGAACTCTGTGGAAAAAAAAAAAGCCCCCCGAGGCATTTTCCCCTCCTGTGTTGTCTTTGCGCTTACGTTTGTGGCTTTCTTTTTTTAGCTTCTAAATGCTTTAATTTGAAGTGGTTTTAACTAAAAGAGATCTATTTCAAGTTGTGCAAATAAATCGTCTTCATCGCTGCCCAAAGTTTAAGATTGGAGCAGACGTGGTGCACAGCTCTAAGTACTGGCACCAAATGGAAACAAAGGTCATGGTGCTTGGATGTTAATGACGTTCAATTATGCAGTGGATTTTAAGACCCTTAAAAGCATACAATCAATTCAGATGAATGGTTGGAATCTAATATTTCCTTGTGGTCTGAGGTGAAGGTGATCCATTTAATTTATTACCTTTTAAAAACTAAGAGACATCTTGCAGCGTCTCTGCCAGTGGACTTTTATTATGTTTGGCTGAGAGCTCTCGGTGCTCTTTGGTGTGCTGTTCAGACGTGGAGTACGCTCTTTAAACTCAGCAGCCGGCCATCGGTCTGTGGATTAGTTGATCATGTGAGAGAAGTGAAGAACAAGGGCTGCATATGTTGTAATGGTTTTCTATACTTCCCCCTCTGTGGCCACTCATTACATCTCAGGCTTCCTGCCACTGCTGTTACCTAATTTCTGCTTCCATTAAGTTGGTGTAATGTAACCCAACAGTTGATTTTAATGTGTTCAACCCAAACTCTGTCAACCTCCTGTATCAACCAACTCATGGGGGTGTCACATAAACAGGATTGAGGTCAATACAAAAATATCATTTTTATCATAAATATTCATTCAAAATCCACTGTGTTAAAAGCGGACATGATCGTCATACTGAGCTCGGAGTCTTTGCCTTGTCCTCAGATCTGCGACTTTGGCCTGGCACGGATAGCCGACCCTGAGCATGACCACACAGGTTTCTTGACAGAGTATGTAGCCACTCGTTGGTACAGGGCTCCAGAAATCATGCTCAACTCAAAGGTGAGTGTGTAAGACTATGTTTGGGACTTTTGTGTGAGTTTTATTTTTATTTTTTTCTTGGAACACAATCTGAACTTTTGTGTGAGTTTTATTTTTTTCTTGGAACACAATCTGTGCGTTTGCTTCTCAGGGCTACTCCAAGTCTATTGACATCTGGTCAGTGGGCTGCATCCTGGCTGAGATGTTGTCCAACAAGCCCATCTTTCCTGGGAAACATTACTTGGACCAACTGAACCACATACTGAGTGAGATAAAGCTAATAACATTGTAAAAGAGTTGAATTATGTGTAGCCATGTGGAAGAGTGTCCATGATTGTTTTTGTGCAGGTGTCCTCGGCTCTCCATGTCAAGAAGATCTGAACTGCATCATCAACACAAAGGCCAGGAACTATCTGCAGTCCCTGCCTCCAAAAGCCAAGGTCCCCTGGGAAACCCTCTTCTTCAAGTCAGATCCCAAAGGTGTGGCAATGTCGCTCGGTTGTTGATATTGAATAATCCAATGCCATTGGTGAAGTCTGTACGCATCACTGAAATAAAAACAAAATTCTGCATTATTATATGATCGGGATAAGATGCAGGGAGTTGGGAGAGAACTTGAGTGAGACGGGTGGGTGGGTGGAAGCAGCTGCTGAATGTGTATGTCTTCTGTTCAATGATTGTGTGAATTATAAAAGTGTGTCTTTGTAGAAGTAGTGACATGGAGATTAACAGAAACTGACCAATTCTCTGTAATGACTCTCACACAGCCTTAGACCTGCTGGGTCGCATGCTGACCTTTAACCCCATCAAGCGAATCAGTGTTGAGGAGGCTCTGGCTCATCCGTACCTGGAACAGTACTACGACCCCACGGATGAGGTACGATTTCTGAGCAAATACGTACACACGGCGAAGACCAGTGCTTTTGTCAGTGTTCAGTATAAGAAGTGTGAGTGTTCTCTAAGGATTCGAAGAACAATAACAGCACATGGGAACAAAAGCTCACCTCCAACCTGCCAAGTACCGAGTTGTGTTGGCAGCAGGAGAACTCATTAATTCAAACATGTTCATCATGGTTTTCTTACTGAACAACAAGCCGGCGTTGGTTTCCGAGTCTCTCAGTCTCTCCGTGCTGTGAAGCCTGAAGTATTGACGCAGCTGTTGATACTTTTCTTTCATTCTCTCTGAACAGCTGTAGCCTTGAAAAAGAGGATAAAGCGGTGCATCTCCTTAAGCATTAAGATATTTCTATTAAACGTTGATACAAGAGCTGTTTAAATGTCTTACTTTAAGCAAGTTATTTTATTATATTTGCAGCACCAATGTTTTGGCCCAATTCTTAACTTTCCAGGCTGATAACAACAAAAGAATATATATACAGTATGTATGTTTGTGTGTGCAGCCTGTAGCAGAGGAACCCTTCACTTTCTCCATGGAGCTTGACGACCTTCCCAAGGAGAGGCTGAAGGAACTGATCTTTGAGGAAACAGCTCGTTTCCAGCACACTTACCAGGGTTCCTGAGACACACAGGTACTGTTTAGAAGTAGCACAGTTACAAAACAACACAGCACTCAGTCAAATTGTTTCTGAAATTTGACATTGTGATAAATCCGCCACATGTCCACAACATTGACAAAGCTTTGACTTGGGTTGAGATTTAAGTTTTTTATGACCTGTAAAAACATACAACAGACATCCAGCAGATGCAGGTAAATATAGTATTTAATAATGTTTTGGGGTTTTTTTTTACCCAGTGGAGAAATGATTTAGAATTGTTGAGTGATTGAATGATCATTCAAATGGGGAATTCAAATTCTTCCCAGTTCACCACCAAAATTGGATTGCATGATTAATAACCACTAGATGTCAGTGGAGCACCTGTCCTTTGTCCAAGAACATAAACACTTCCAAACCTCCACCTGCAGAGTTTCCAGGCACTGAAGCTGCTGCTGCACAGATAATAGATAATAATAATTTCTCCAAAACATCTGTATAATACTTTCTATCTTTTTGATTTTTACATTTCATCTAGAGATGTCAATTAAACAAAATGTAATGTAATTAGTATTTGTTAAAATATATTCTGTATTTCTATTTTTTTCTATTTTGTTTTTCTTCCCAGCCCTGAATTTCAATAAAGCCATGCAGAGGCTTGGAACAAGACGACTCCAAACGACACGCTAAAAACGCAACGAAACAACAATCTTCGATAACTCTTCAAAAATGAGAAAACGCAAAATATGAACATTTAACTGCTTATCTTTCCATTTCTACTGCAAGAGAGAGAAAGGTCTAAATTTGATTTCTGTGGTGAGGCTTTTGGAGTCTGTCGTACTCGCATTCCTTCCTCCTCCTCCTCCTCCTTCTGCTCTTCTTCTCCTCACCGCAGTCTTAATATGTTTGGTTGTTTACCAGTCACATGACCTCCTTCTCCCTGTTGCTCCTTCTCCCTCTCTGCTGCGGCTGTCGCTCATCTGTCTTTCCTCCTTGACGCTCCTCCTCATATAATCACAAACTACTGTATTAACCAACACCGTAACTCTCTCCTCTTGGCTCTGTGTAAATTACAACCTGAACAACAAATTGCGAGGGCTGAAAGATCAGAGATGCTAATCGGGTGTGAGTGTATGTACATACAAAAACAGTTGGGTTTTTTTTTCTTTCATTTTAAGTGTGCTTGTCACCGTTTTCCGTTGGTAAATTGTTGTTTGAGTGTTTTCAGATCAGTTCATAGTTGTATTTGTACGTATGTTCTTTGGGATTTCTATTTGCAAGTCACTTCTGAACACTTACTTTTGAGACGGTGTTTTTATTGGCATGTTGGCAGGTTTATAGATTTGTTTGTCGTTGCTCTCTTTGTCAAGTTTTTTTTTTTTTTCTTCAAAAAAAAAAATACAAATTGTGTATGAAATTTATATGAATGCATGCATTCTGGAAATTTACCAAAGTGGCAGAGAAATGTGAGAAACTGGGCTTGGGAGCAGCTAACGATTAGCTTTTTTTTTTTTCTTTGTTTTTTTTTTATCTTCAATTTCTTTCTACATTTCCTCAAGGGCAAAATGAGAGATGTTTTTCTGGTCCCAAAATGATTGGGATAAATCAGGTGGAAGCATGACGTGTGTTCATTCAGATTTATGATCCATGTTCTAGACCATTCCAAACTTTTAAACACCTCAAAACGTTTTTCTTTGAGTGGCAGTCTTGCAGTAGTGAGGCTTGAAAACATCACATATACTCTGATCAGTCACTGGACCATGCAGTAATGAACACTCGTGTAAGACAAGGCCAAACAGAGTAATGTTACACCACATACCATTAAATACACACGGTGTCAGAGCCGTATATTAAATGTCAGTCCTGTATAAAACAGCGAGCTGCGGAATCCCTGCCTCATTCCTCAGCTTCTCTGCGTTCTCCGAAACATTTATAGGAAAGTTCTATTGGACTCTCCAAGGCCACAGTGCTGTGTTTGTTGTGCTGTGGCTGTTTGGACCAGGATAACCAATGAGTTGATCCGTGCATGCAGGCTGACAGTCGAGTTCTAATTATTGTTTTATTTGAGCAGCCATCGTTGAATGCAGTGTAGAAAGTGTAGTAATCAGCAGTGTTTTAGATTAGTTGTTAAAGTCAGTGAAAGGAAATCTTTTCTGAGGAGTTGAGGTCACAACCGATAGCTCTAAGTCACTGTCAATGATTTATTATTTAAATGTTGTCAATTTGAAACCAAAATCTGATTGAAACAGAGGATGAAGTGTTAACCACATAAAAAATAGAACATGATTAGGTCAGCTGATCAAGACTGTTCGGTAGGCGACTGTGTGCAGACTGGAAATACTGTTATGGCTGCAGTACCACTGCTAGCCAATAGAAAACAACTATTAAAAAAAAACCTTACCATAGAAATTAAAAGATTATTCTGGACCATCTCCTGTCATGCATTAGTGCTCAATTTCTTCTGAATGGGATTTTAATGTACTAAAATGACATCATGTTCTATTCAAAAGCTAAACTTGCGATCACAAGCGTAACGATAGGTTGGAAATTGCATCAAATTAGCCTCGTTATTCATACCAAAAGGACCAATAATTTCTGTGGCTTCTCTTTGCATGAGGATGACTGTGTCTCTTTCTTATAAACAGTCTACAATACCTTGCTTTGTCTTTGTGTACTGTTCCTGGCTGCCTGTTAAAGGACAGGATGTTTTTTTTGTTTGTTTTTTTACACAATGCTGTTGATCCATGTCACACTGTACGGCTACCACCAGTGGAAAAACTGAAATGTTTTTTTAGATCAAAATAGTAAGGCCAGATTTTTTTTGACCACTAATTGTGCTCAAAATAACATTACATTTGCTGTGCAACATGAACCAGACAGCATTGTGACTTTGACTCACTGTTTACATATAGACTGTTTCAGTACTGTTTCGGTGCTGTTTACATATTTCTTTATGGTGAGCTAAAACTTTGTCTTGCAGGTAACTAGTTCATGTTGCGGTGCACTTGTAATGGTATTTTGAGGCATTTTAGAGGGAAGTCTGTAACCACAGGTTTGCTTTGTAACATAAGTGTTTTTCCTCTGCATCTCTGTTTGCACATGATGTACTGTTTAAGTGTATGTCTGCTCTTTACACACTGTTGCCTGGTGAACCATCACCAGCACGACCGCCTCCTGCCCCCTCACCCCCCCTCCCCCCTCCTTTTTTTTTCCAAATGCTCTATCTCTAATGTTTCCCTGTCTTTTGCATTGGGCCCAGTGAATCTACTCTGATGTGATGAGCGCTCACTGGCTGTGGAGTTTTACGCCAAGTTTTTTTTTTTCTGTATGTGTCTGTGTGTTGAATGTTGGCTGTTCTTTCAGAAGCCATAGCCAGGACCCTGGATTGGTTGTGAGGCTTTATGATACTGTTTTCATCTCCCCCAAACGCTCGCCATGCTTTACCAAAAAAGGGCTCCCTCCTTTTCCCAGCTGTTTTCCTGTTTGAGTTCTTTGTATACTGCAGAAAGCATTCTCCCCTGTGTCACCAATGCGTTTTAGTAACTTATCAACAAGTCTTACTTACAGGCAGGAGAAACAAGTCCGATCATGTGACCCAATCAGCACACCGGCACTTTGTCCTACAAGCCACGCTCCGTCTGTGTCAGGATTATTTTGGACTTTTCCGTCAGTGTGTCTGTGTTTCAGTCCCAGGTAATTTGTGCTTGTTGAAAAGTGTTTGTGTCTCCAAAAACATAAAAGCCAAGGCTCTTTTTGTCTCATATCAGTTGATAGTGAACGATTGTCTTAATTCACACAGGCCGTGCTTTTTTTTTTTTTTTCTTTCTTTTTCTGTATTTTTCCTCCCTTTGACCTGCTGCCAGACCAAACATCTCACTGGGTAACTACAGGAATGAACAAAGACGACCATGTTTGCATTCACACACACACACACACACACACACTCTTGTAGTAGAGTGTGCATGTGTAAACAGTTGCACTTAAACACACCACATACATTCACACAGTATCAACATGTCTAAGGCCAGTCTGTCATGAGACTTATTTCCAGATATTCTTCTTTTAAATTGCTGTTCTTATTATTGCTATTGTTGTTCTATTGGTGAGTTGTTGTAATTTCTTTTTTTTTTTTTTTTACATAAAAGGGAGTTAATAAGTTGTTTTTTTTATTGCTAGATTTTTTTTATTTGTATTCCTCATTTCTCTTATGGGCGTTATTATTATTACTGTTGTTGTTATTATTGGCAGATTTGTTTTGTTTTTCTTTTCTAATTTCTCCCTCCAAGATCTTAAGAGAAATTATTTTAAAGATATCGGTAGATTGTCAAAGAGCTATGAGTTATTGAGGGTTATAGTCTGTATATTCTATGGGTATTATGAATTAAACGATTAACAAAGAATTATATACATATAATTAAATAAAATTTCCTGATACTGTTAATATTTGTGTTTCTCCCTTTTTTCTACTTTAGTAGAAGTTTCATTGTTGTCTGGAGTTTTAGAAGAGAAGACCAACTGGATGAGAATTTTCAAAACCACAAAATGTCATACTTTCTAAATAATAAACTTAATGGTAACAATTATTAACCTTTTTTGCTAACTCAGGCAATGTCTGAGCTAAATTTAACACATTTTTGACAACCAACACGGCTGCAAAGTCGTACTTGAATTACTGGTCAAATAAATGAATATTTAATATTATATACATAAAACAATACAAACACATGTTTATTTAGGGCCCTTAACATACAGACCTGTGGACAGGAGCGTTCACCTGGAGGAGTCAAATCTGTTCCCCTTAAAAAGAAAATATTAGGGATGTGGGCCAAAGCAGGCCTGCTACTTGCCTTCCAGGGCAAAGCAAAGAAAGCCACTTTATTTAAATAAGACAATATCCACAAACAGAGAAAATGAAATGTTGACAAATAAGTAGTGGATTTCTTCATTTGCTTCAAGTGCAAACACTTCACTATTGCATTTAAATACGGTATGTCCATGTCCCTTTATTATAAAATTTTCAAAGTCTGCATGTAAATATGAGGAGTTGGTGCCAGGAAGATTTTGTTTCTCATCTTTCTATGTAACAGTCCCAGCATGGCTGCTTGGCTCCTCTGACATTCACAGAGTCACTAATGGAAGAATGTAGTGAGAGCTGGAGCTGCTTGGCTCCTCTGACATTCCCAGAGTCACTAATGGAAGAATGTAGTGACCATGGCAGGGGGAGAAAGAGAACAATTTTATTTATCTATTTATTTTTTATTAAAGAGGAGGATGTTTACAGGTTTCACATGCAAAAGTAAATGAAGGTAAAAAGCCAGTATGTCCTGTTGTGCAGCAGTTAATGGAGTCCTGTCTGAATTGTTGATTGTTGTGTCATTTGTGAGAGACCCTTACCAGCTGCACTGTCAGTGAAGTTGAACAATGCACAACTGCACACTCTGCACTGCATGTTATATAATGTATGTCATTGTTTATATTGTTCTCAGATGTCAGGCTTCAATGTTTCTGGATGATTCCAGATTTCAGTCAAAAGAATCAGAATTGCCTTAAAAAAATGAATTAGGCAATTATTGCAATTTGCTTAAAAAGTAAAAGCACAAATGACTAAAATAGGTACAAATAAAACAAAAACGGCAAAAATGAAATATATATTTATATACATATGTGCATAAATATAAATATGTGTGTGTGTGTTTACATGAATCTGTCTGTGACAGCGATTTTGGTCACCATGATTTGCCAGTATGCATGCATGCATACACGGACACACATGCATGCACACGCACAAACGCGCATACATACACACTCACGTTCATTCCTACTGAACAAACTGCACAGTAAAGAGAAGGATATCGTACTGCCACAGGCAGGGGTGAGGCCGGAGAGCCGCAGAGTGAGGGCGATTCTTGAGCTAGTGCTTCATTAACTTTTTTTTTTTTTTTACAGCTCTCTCTGTTCAGGGGTGACAAACCTATCGTCCTATCTGAAGCATGTACAGAGCACGTTTTTTGGTTTTACCAGTCTGTCCAGATTTTTCCTAATATTGTCAAAGAAATGTGAGAGAGCAGCCAAGTGTTTCTGGGACTTGTGGAGACTTGAGATTTACTTTTCTTCCTTGGATGAGACCCTGCAGACCCTCTCTCCGCTCAACAAAGGTGTTTGTTTATTGACAGAATGAGCAGCTTTTTGTATTTTGTCCTTCCTGCGTTGGGGGGATACACGCTCACCTCCTTGTACCTGCTGAAGAACCCGCACATTCTCCACAGGAGGAAACGCACAGGCTTTTATTGCACACATATCTCACACCGAGGAGGTAGGAAGGAGACATGTTTTCTACACGGAGGTGGGATCAAAGTTTTTAAAAAAATTATGGAACACAAACAGGATGATGTCTGTCTGTAAATCAAATCCAGGACTGTAGAATATTGAGCTGAAATCTTTGTTAATTTCTACTGCAATGTATTCACTTGAGTCCACAGTAATAACTGAGTATTTTTATGTGTTGTGTTCATCTAAGTATTTACAATAGCTAGTGTTCTAAAAATGAGTGTCCTAATTTACCTTGGGGTTCCGCCAGGCTCCATCCTGGGACTTGTTTCCTTTTTCTCAATTGCATGTATTAATTGTGGAACATATTTAAAATGTTCTGTTCCATTATATCAAAAGGAAGTGACCTATGGAAACCATTCCTGAAAAAAAAAACAGTTAAAACAGTTAGACCTATGATAACTGCCATAGTCTCAATATTGTCATCATTGTAATGTGAATCCTTAGAAATGTGATTTTTGTCGTGCCTTTAATTTGATGGTCAGATTTCTTCTGTGACATTTTTCCACATTTAAGACAATAATTAAAGGCTTATTTGTGACAGGATTCCTGGGAATTGTTCTGTGCTTTCAAAGAACAGTTTCCAGGTACAATATTAAAATAACAGGAGGGAATTAGAACTAAGAAGAATGTCATAAGTGTTGTATTTGTTCAGATACAACACATTGTGCAGGTTTGTTATTACTGTGGCCTCACTCCTGCTTGTTTTCAGGGTGTGGGGAGAGAATAGAAAGCACCATGGAAGCCTTCACACAGTGAGTAAGAAGTCACTGAAAAAACAAATGATCTATGAAACTAAAATGATTGGACATAAAAATACCTAAGAAATTGTTGAATTTGCATTTGTTGACACACAAAAAATACATTATTTATGCATTTATAACTTGCAAAAAAGAAAAAGAAAAAGGAAAAAAAGAAACATCAGACAGAGGGAAGCATAGCAACTAACGTCTTCCCCATCTCCAGTGCGCTGGAACAGGGCACCGAGATGTTTGAGTTGGACTGTCACCTGACACATGACGGACACGTGGTGGTGTCCCATGATGAGAACCTGCTGAGGCAGACAGGACACGACGTTACCGTCTCCTCACTCAATCTACAGGTAAATGTTAAAAAAAAAAAAAAAAGTTTTGTTAAAACAGCTGTATATTTCCAAGAAGAATGTTGAGAATTATCCCTATAACGTACGTTTCAGTGATCAGTGCATTGTTTAACCACGTTTTCCAACTCTTCCAGGATTTGCCTTTGTATAAGGAACAACTCGAGGTGACTTTTTATGCAGGTAAGTTTCATCTCTCAAACGTTACCTTTGCTAATCATTAACAACAACAAAAAGCTGTTTAATGTGGAAAGGTCGATTAGTCAACAAGTATGTGTGTGTGTGTGTGTGTCCTTCAGGTCACTACAGCAGCGGTGCAGACAGACAGTTTACTCTCCTTGAAGAAGTGTTTAAGAAATTCCCTCGTGTTCCTGTCAGCATTGAGCTTAAAGAGAACAACCATGGGCTGATCCAGAAGGTACTACACACACAAAACAATGATCATGGAACCTCAACAACAGTCTTTATTTAGACTATTATTGTGGGCACACAGGGGTTGTTAATGAAATAGTGGAATAAACATCACTAACTACGTAAACTAATTGTTTATATTGTTTTTTTTACTAATGTTCCTCTTTTCACATTTAGGTTTCTGATCTGGTGAAGAAGTATCACAGGGAGGAAATCACCGTCTGGGCCTCAGTCAACTCCAGCATCATGAAGGAATGCCACAGAACGGTACATGTGAACCACAAGGAGGAGACAAAGCTCCTAGTACAGTTGTCGTAGTTCAGTCGCAGAAAGGTCATTTGTTTTGTATGTGTTACCACACATTTACCTTCTCTCTCAGTTCTCTGTCAGCAGAAAACACTTCCTCATTTACTCATGCACTTATAAACCTGTGGCCTCTCTCTCTCTCTCCCTCTCTCTCTGTGTGTTCCTCACAGAACGCCTCAATGCCGTACAGTTTCACTGTGAGACGAGGAGTGCTTCTTCTGCTCCTCTTCTACAGCGGCCTGCTGCCCTTTGTGCCACTGGGCGAGAGCTTGCTGCAGTTCTACCTGCCACGTATCTTCAACAGGTGTGGCTGCGTGCCTGTGTGTCCATGCATGTCCGATGTGCCGTCATACATATCACACCTAGACAGGCCCTAATTTTAAATAAAGGCAACTTTGACCACAAAACTGATGTAAGGACTTTGTAATTGACCAATCAGTTTTAATTATTTTTCTTTTAAGTATCAGAGAAGTGAACATTTTAGATTTAGACATCAGCTGCCAACAACTTATTTACACTCATCACAGACTAAACACTTAATCACTACCTTGGGAAGATAATTATCAGATGAAGTCACGATAGTTTGAAATGTATCACTATTTTTAGTACATTATATTTAATAGTTTCATTACTTGTGGCAATTTGCATCAGATTTTATTCACACTTTGTTCTCTGGTTGCTAGAGAAATGGGAGTCATAGTATACTATTGAAATTTAAAACTAACAGTCTTAACAGGATTTGTAAGAATGAACCTGAAGTTGCTTTTTTTTGTCTGTGTCTGTTTTGCTGAAGGACGTTCATTCCTGAGAAACGTTTCTTGAGAAACAGGCTGGTCGTCTCTTTGTTGGGCAAGTGAGTAAATACAATACAATATCCAGTGTCAATATTCAGTACTGTTCATGAGCAGTGTCCTGTCCTCTCTCTGCAGAGTAACAATGAGGAGGAGTCTGTTCAAACACCTCGCAGATCGAGGAATTCAGGTACGAAGAATACTCGTGTAAATCATCTGGGTTCTGATGCAATCAAATTAAAATTCTATGGCCTCAACCAGAGACCTTTGGACGTAGCCTTGTGGATAAAACGAAACAGTAAAGTCATGGTAACAGACAGGAAGTTCTCTGCTGGTTTCATACTGTATATTCAGTATAAAAGCAAACCCATTTATAGTAAATTAGAAGATAAAACATGAGCAAGGACGTAAGAATGGATTTAGGTCTGAAGGCGATTTCTTTTCTTTTTTTTAAATTTGGTTTAAAACCCACTGACTTTTAGTATCTATATGAAAACACACTATGAGCAAGAACTGAGGAATTGTTCTTTTAGAAGAAGGGAAGACCACAAGATAAGAAAACAACATTTATGTTGTTGTTTCAAGAGATAAACATTTAAACATCACTATCTTTCTTTTCTTAGAAATTCTTGCAACAGAATATAAAGATTATTCACGTTTGCAAAGCAGAACCCTGCTGCTACCACGGTCCTGATAACTGATTGTTGCACTACATCGGTTCTGACACCATCTTATATCAGTTTGTATTTACACAGTGCGTGTCGATGCTCCAGGGTCTGATTTCATGTTGATGCCTGCTCTGATTTGACAGCAATTCTGAGAAAAGTGCAGTAACAGGGTTTCTACGTAGACACATGCTGAAGAGAAGATCTTCCTGTTTGCATTACACACAGATGAAGTTACATGAGTTGGATCAAGACGATAAATGAGGGCCTGCAGATGATAATGCAGCTCATTGTTTGTTTTTCCAGGTGCATTTGTTTGTGTGTAACGAAGACGAGGATATAAAAGCTGCATTTGACGTTGGAGCGACTGGAGTGATGACGGACTATCCCACCGTTCTATCGAGATTCCTCTGCCAAAACCAAAGCCAGGATTGTGGACAAACAGCTCTGCAGTAAAATAAACAAAGGACAAAAAAAATAGAACTAATTTCCCCTGTCATTATCAGATAAGTCAAAGAACTGTTTGAACAAAACACTCAGCCATAATCACTGCTGAAGGAATAACTTGTCACGTGCTCAGAAACCAGTTCACGTCTCTGTTCCTCCAGTCACAATCATTCTTGTCACGTGCTCAGAAACCAGTTCATGTCTCTGTTCCTCCAGTCACAATCATTCAGAGGCAATCCAGTGTTTGAAAACACAGCCATTGATTTCCTCCACAGTAACTCTGAGTGAATATTTAACCAGCAGGACCCGGTCACCTGATTTGGTCTCATTTCTCATGATAAGAGAGTAAACGTGACTTTGTTGTGACTCTACTGTACCTGCAGATGTTTTCTGACAATACTCACCTGGTTTGAGTAAAAGTGTTAAAATTAATATTTTGAGCCATAACAACAATTGACAACCAGTCAAGAAAAGTACAGTCACTGACAGTAAAGATTCATGTGGGTGACTACTTTTTGTTGTACTGTACAGCATTGTATTTTAACCAAATCTACATTGTTATGTGTCTCCAGGCCAAGGTCAGAGTCCATTGATAACCAGCCTGATATTGTCAGTGAAACAACTGCTGTGTTTTTCTAACCTATTTGGCTTCACTGTGTGAGTGATGAGTGACTTCATGGAAATATTTGTGGGTGGATCCCTGAGGACTTAGGTCTTTTATGGTGTGGATACAAAGAGCAAAGATGTGAGTAAATGACCCAGCAAAGAAAATGGGGCAATTGTCATGATTGAATAAGGGATATAATGCTGAGGCCAAGAACAGTGGGGGCACCTTATCAGTCATAGAAGTGTTTTGTCAACAGAGATAAGTAAATACGTATTGTTTGAGAAAGAAACCAAACGTCCAGTAGAAGAGAAATGTAGTAAATGAAGTGATTGGTGAAAAGTATGAAAAGTATCAATAAACTTTTTATGTTCACATAAAGTCATATATTCAGTCACAATAAATCCTACAATAAAACACTCAAAATCTGAAATTGGGACCAAAACAATATGTTTAAATATTTGTATAGTTTTGCATAGACTTGTCAAACTATAAAGTGACACTTTCATTTAGAAAGATCGGTGACCTCTCTCCAACCGCGTGGTCTCAAATTTCCAAAAATAAATAATAAAAACAAACACTAGTCGCCGTTCATTGTTTACAGTCCAAGGTGCAATGTTTTACGTGTAATTTGCAAAGATTTACCTCCGACGGCATGACAACCGTGCTGTACGTTTTGACAAAATAAAAACAAATACCACTGTGTGGTAATAAATGACGTGCGTTCGCTCTTCATCATTTCAAACAGCCATGTTCAAAGCGGGCACTGATAATCCATCAACCCTTCAGAGAACGGTTCCGCCCATCACCCTAAGATAGAACAAATCTAATTGGTTGACCCACATTCCCTGCGTCATCTCAGCCTCTGATTGGTCAGCAGGGATTTGTTTTGCACTCTTTTAGACTTCCTCCTCTGCCTGTTTTCATAAACAAACCGCACGTCCAAACCACTTTCTGTTTGTCGTAGAATTCTTCGATATAGATAAATTGTTTTCCTGTATTTGACTGAAAAAGAATCAAGTGGGTAAACGCTGCTGAACACCGAGGTTGTTCCGATTTGTCAGAACCGTGTGAGCACCGAAAGCGTGGTGGACTGCTGCACAGAACCTGCTGCTGCTGCTGCCGTCGCTGCATAACACAAACCCGCTGCACATCGATTTTATTTTTTCTGTCAAAATCCGTCTGCTTATATTGTAAACATCTCCTGTAAAAACAGGTGAGTTCACACACACAGACACACACATTTAGAAAAACCCTGTAAAGCGCCTTCTGCTTCTGTTGTGTTGTGATCCTTTGGAGTTAGCAGAATGTGGCTACTACTGTTAGCTTTCTTCGCTGTCCGTCTTTTATAAACACACTCATTGACACACACACACACACATACATACATACATATTTAATTACAGAAACGTTGCTATCAGTTCATGTCCACTGTTAGATTTTCAGTAGCTCTAACTCTAATAGAGCGAGTTTGGTGCAAACCAGCTTCCTGTAAATAGATCTGCGCCCTATTTTTTTTCTGCTACTGTTCCACGCACACTGACACCAGAAGATGTATAACTGCAACAGCCCCAGGCCGTTTGCCACATGCTCAAGCTCCCAGTTTGTCTTTATGGAGAGCTCACATGGAAATATCTGATACTGTTTGTTATCTGTAATTCCTCTCGTCCAATGATTGACGTTGGTGGGTCACATGTAAAATATGGTGCTGCGTCCATATATTGCTCCTCTTCTTTCCCATATAGTTAGAATTATAGTCATTAGTCATTATTGGCAGTAGAAATGGGAGCCAGTAGGTGGCAGTGATGCAAGCCAAAATGGCGCAAAGCTGCTGTCAACACTCAAAGAAGAAGGATTAAGTTAGAAAAATGTAATAAAATCACGTTTTAGCTTGTGGGACACTGAACATTGTGGATATTTAGTGAAAAAAAATCTATAGGTCAGAAAAATATTTGACAGACATTAGTGTTGTTTGTTTTACAAATAAGGCATAATTATAATGGGTCAAACTCTGGTCTTCGCCTACAGCACAGAGGAGCTCCCTAATGAGATTCTATAGCCTGCTTTTTATCTACCAATCCACAATAACCATTCACCACCTTGCTTTATTTTCTCTGTCGTTCTCTCAGACATGGTGAAACTGACCAAGGCCAAGACATTCCAGGCCTACCTGGACTCCTGCCACCGTCGTTATAGCTGCGTTCACTGCCGCGCCCATCTGGCTAATCATGACGATCTCATCTCTAAGGTCAGTGTAGTGTCACCCTGTGTGAAGGAAAGTGTGCTCAAACAATACAAAACTATAAAGTGAGACTTGAACAAGTTAAATCCATGTTGCTTTTGTCTCCACCAGTCTTTTCAAGGCAGTCAGGGCCGAGCCTACCTTTTCAACTCTGTGTAAGTACATGGTGCTTTGAATCCTTCCATTTTTTTCTGTTGCAGCATTCCTATTTTCATTTTGGTTGAAGACTTAAAATGTTAAAAGACCCATTTATGGTGCATTATTTTTAAGTTGCCAGTAGTTGATCATTTTGTGTTTCCTTAGAATGTTACAGAATTTCCCAGAAAAAAACCATCTAGTGCAAACATATTTATACACAGGCAACAGAAAATGTAATTTTCCGCAGAAAGTACTGTGAACTTGGCAGAAGTCGGTGTTTATCTTCTACTGGGTTGGTTGGCCATGAGTAATCATGCAGCAACTTAAGGATGTGGTGATAGTCAGTCTCTCAGCTCTATGTAAAATAGATCAACCCACTTGAAAAAAAAGTTAACTTTCAGAGTCTATTGCTCAGTTCCTGGAGAGAGAATATAAATTTTGATGACAGCGTAATGAAAAGGAGCTGCAGTTTTTAGAAATACTGTGTTGTGTTTTAGGGTTAACATTGGCTGTGGTCCTGCAGAGGAGAGGCTGCTGCTAACAGGACTTCACGCAGTGGCTGACATCTACTGTGAAAACTGTCACACCACTCTGGGCTGGAAATACGTGAGTGTGTGCACACAAACACACATGAAAACGCAGACAGCTGAGTTGTTCAACATTAACCAGATGTATGACGTTAGTCTGCATTTATAGCTTAGCTTCAGCATTCAACCCTGATTTCACCTTTTATATGTTTCATTGACTTTGTGGTAGTCTTAGGCCTAGTTTTTATATTGCTCTGTTTCCCTCTCTGTGAGATTTGACTTGATGACATTTTTTTCTGTGAGGTTATATAACCACTTTTTCATAGTTTGGACCGGTCTTGTATTCTTAATTAATACTTAATTACTAATCATTAAAAATCAATTGTTAACTTGTCATTAGTCAGAAGTATTACTTTAAACTATTTAGAAAAAAAATGAACCTCATGGTTCTTTGTTGGTGTCTGCACATCCTCTTTCGACATTAACTCTGACCAGAGAGGAGAGGAGTGGCGGTTTTGCATCCATCTCTTTGTTTTAAACCCCTTTTGTAACTTCCTCTCTGCAGGAACAAGCCTTTGAGTTGAGTCAGAAGTATAAGGAGGGGAAGTACATCATTGAACTGTCCCACATGATAAAGGACAACGGCTGGGACTGAGAGACTTCAGTGTTCACCGTGACTCTCATATAAAAAAAGAAAAAAGTTGCATCCCCTCTACGTCAAGGGTTCCAGTGTAGCTTCCTTCTCCCGCATTCGAGCCCCAGCTTCGTATGGCTTTGCCGACCGTAGCATGCAATGCCTCATCTGTTTCTCTTCTTTGTGTTTTTCCAACAAACAACAACAATGACACATGTGCTGCTATTGCTATCCTTATTGCTAGCTGTGCTGGGACATGGAACGAGTGAGTGCAGGGTGGTGTGTGAAAGTCTGACAGTGTAGTCATACAGGTGTGCTGGTTATTCTTCTTTTTAACTGTGTTCCAGTAATGACCCCCCATCCCCACTGTATGAGGGACCACCAAAACATGATGCTGTGTAGAGGTGTGGCAGTTAAAAAATAATGCAACCGTCCCGCAGGTCAGATGCAGGGGTTTGGGGGTTTTTGTATGAAGTTCAGTCATCATGGGCTCAAGTGTTTTATCTGTTAAACCTACCCTTCACTTACAGGGAAGGGTGTCGGAAAAAAAAACTCTTAATTGGTGACGTTTATAGTAGTAAGCGCAGTGATGTGGTTATCTTGTGCCAAATGCAGTCAGAGTGTGAAATTAATGAGGCCAAGTACACAAACATCCCCTGAACGACTTCTTAAATCTGGATTATTAGTGGTTTTTACTGTAGGTTTATTATTTGGTGTTTGTTTGTGTGTGTGTGTGTTTATGTGTGTGTAAGATGCCATAAGGTGTACGGTGTTTAGGTGTACGGTGTTTAAAGGCGTCAGTTCAGATTTCACGTCGTTGCACAGTTGTTACATCTTGACTCTGACTTCATGCTGATGAGATCTATTCTCTGTGTTTGTGTAGAACCTAAACGCTGAGCCCTTTTTCATGTGTTACTCTGCCCTGTTAGAGTGAAATGGATTTAGGATCATGTAGCGTATTTATGGTGATTTTATTTTGTCTTTTTCTTTTTTTAAATGTCTGCTTCTTCATTTTTCATTAAAATGAATTATTTTAACATTTTACAATGCACTTCTTCACTTCTTCATTATGTATATGTGAAGCATGTTTTTACACATACATATACAATACATAGGTTTTAGGCGGCTATATATGTATATATTTGTATGTGTATGTATCTAGCTAAATGTACATGTATGTATTTAACCATAGTCATAACTCACAGTAAATAATGTTACTAAAACACAAAAATGTAATGTTACAAAAACATTTTTTAATGTACATTTTAATTTGAGAATATGTTATGATACAACGATTTAATTTAATTTGTTTTCAACACTTTAATATAGTTTTCTCATATAGTATAGTCGCTCAGTGTACTTTTTTGCAAAGACCAGCGTCTCCCCCTGGTGGTTCACTATGAAAATGTTCTATGATGATATGAAGCCGAAAATTAATTTCTCCTTCTGAACTCATGAAACATTTTTTTTATTGTTTAAAGTTAGGGTAAACCAGATGCTGAAGTGAAAGAATCATTTCCTTAATGGAGTGAACCACCTGATGAAAAGTTCATTGATATCTACGTCACAACTTCAGCTTCCTCATTCTCAAGCCTCCCTTTGAATGTAAAACAATTTTATGGTTTCATTTTTTCATGTGTTTGAAAATAATACCATATAATTGTTTGATGACAGATTGATATCTAAACACAAGAGTTTTCAACATATTCACTGAATTTTCCAAGTTACAAAAAAACTTTAGTTGGCTCTGCAGATGTTTGTCAGAAAGAAAAAACTGGTCTGTAAATTAGGCCATCCTAAAACAAATCTCCCAGCCACCCTTGGATCAGACTCTCAAACCCTCATCAGCCAATCACAGTACATACACTTAGCTCCTCTTATTCTGAAGTAATTGTGATCATACTCCAAGCAGGAGTGGATCACATGAGTGAGCTTTCACCAGAACTAAAAGCTTTTTTATGACAATTTATGGAGAAACTGCTGAGAGTCATGTGAGTAAAGGTCAGTCCAGCGATCTGAATGTGTTGTATTTGCAAGAAAGGCTTTCACAGATGACAAGGGGTGAGAGAAACCCTGTGAATAGTATTGTTAAAAAAACTAAAAAACACAGTTATCTACAGCCCTGTGTGTGTCAATGGTGCTAATGGTTACCCTCTCACCATCACATCTTCCTTAATATTCCAGAATATTCTATACAATAGCTATATTAATATAATAGCTATACATGTTTTACACAGACATTTCAATGACATTTAATATGTTCCATATTAAATCCACACTTCCTACTTTGTAATGTATTTTACGCAAATACTGCTGCCAAACATCCCCAAACTTCCCCAAAAATAAGGCTAATTCTACTCTACTTTTAAATGCTTAATACAGTATTTCTTTCCACACTTCTCGTAGCCACATCTTTGTACAGTATGTTTTTTTTCCCCCGTATATCCTGGAAATCCTGCATGAGTCGAGATCCACGTGAAAATTACCTCAGCTGTCTATTTCTGCTATAGAGAATACTATTTCACCAGACATGTCCTGGTGATTCTTTGACTGTTCCTGTTTTAGTGTGTGACAAAGATGCTGATTCAGAGTCACAGCAGACCCATGTGTCTGTGGAAGTGAGCACAGCCTCACAGCATACGCTTCTCTACCTTCTTATTAATGAAAAAACATTTGGTTTCCACAAGCACACTGTTCCATCAAGAGCTTTTTTGTCATAGCACTATTAGATATAGAACTCAAGTCACATCCATATTTTCAACTAAAATATATAGGAGTATCCATTTCACACAACACTGATGTCTCCTTTCTGTTCCTCTCTCAGCAATCCTCTAATACAGTTATGTTGGGTGATTATCAGTGAGTCTGTAACTCATTCAAATAGTTGGCAACGAGCTGCAGAGTCACAATGGCATTTCCCCTGCCCTAAAATTGGAGGTAACACACTCACACTATTTTCACTGCTCCTAGACAAATTCTACTGGCCCGTGCCTGAACCAGGTCCAAGTAGCAACTTAGCTGCCGATTCAAAGGTTATCCAGTACATTCTTAAACAATTTAAAGCTTCCATCTATGTCACTGATTCTAGATCTGTTCTGATTTCAGCCCTGAAAGACGCCGTTTGTTGCAGCCTGTCTATGCTCTAGCCCTACGCAAAGTTCCAGATTAAAGACAACAAAACCATTAAATGCCGGAGAAAATAAAAAAATAACTGAAGCTTGAAGATGGCAAAAGGTTGCAGCTCCAAGTGAGGCCCTAATGGCCATATGACCGAAAACCTGCAGTGGTGCAACAAAACAAAGCCAAATGATGTCAAAATAAATAAAATAAATAAGAATAATAAAATAATAATAAATCATACAAATGACTTAGTACTTAGTAGAGTATTAATATCATAGGGTGATCTTAGCAATAGAGCAAATCCCAATTGTTTTTATAAGTAAAAAGTCAATATACTGATGACAAAATTCTTTAAAGATTGTAGGAAAGTCAAAAAGACTGTGAGTGAAACATATATTTTAATTTGCTAAATGGTGAAATTTCCCTTTTAGCAGACACCACAAACATCCATTTTGTATTCCAGTGTCACCTTGGCAGAGACCGTTTCAGGATATGCCTCCAAAAATCATCCAAGTCGTTTTTAATTATAGTTTAATACCACGTGAAGATTTTTTGGTTTTGGTTCAAATGACGCTATACCTGTCAGACTGATGTTTTTTTTAATAAAATATACAGCAGTGTGACACATCATGTGATGGATTCAAAGATGGAGCACATACGATGACGCTGGTTAAGATGGTATTTGTACTGTCCTTACCAACATGCTGTTTATTTGTTTACTGTGTTTGGTTTTATTGTAGTAAACACGGTGTTTGCAGACGAATTTGACAATTTATTTGACACACAATAATTAATACGCAGGCGTGTGACGACTACGAGCGTTTCAACCGCAGTCAGTTCTACTTGCAGCAGATCGTACCACAACACACACGATCTTCAAACCCCCTTACGTTTTGTTGTATTTATTCATTAATCTTAAGTAAACATGAATAAATTTGATAAATTGCATAAAATATACATTATTTTTAAGTAAATGTTGGAAAAAAAATGGAAATAGTAATAAAACAACGGCTTTGACCGTGTAAGCGTGACTGTTTTGCACACCCCTACGTCAGTACAAATAGACCCTCCCGATGTGGTGGGTCATGTGACTTTTTCCGTTTCGCCATTTTCCTCTTCCAGACCCGGTGCTCTCGCGGACGGATACCTTCTCGTCCTCTCTCAGCGTTTAAACCTGCCCCGAAGCTGACAGTTGGAAACGGTGGACTCTCAGTAAGAAGACACTTCGATTGCTGTAACTCAAAGACCCCCAAAGAAGAGCGAGAATGTCTGCAGAGAGCCCGGAATATTCGCCTTTCTTCGCCGTGATGGGAGCTTCTGCGGCCATGGTGTTCAGCGGTAACTACCCCAGGCCTCTTTACCTCACACAGTCGCGTCACTCGCTCAATGATAACGACGACTTGACATTCAAGTGTTGATGCTAGTTTTTCGTCTAAAAGTAACAGTTATCATAGGAAATTGTGACAGGGGTGTTGGTAGTCCGCTAGGTCACGGCTCATATACACGGTAACTCACGCGCACACACACCTGCCGCTCGTGCGAAGCTGATGGAGGAGAAGGTGTCCTCGGTCATCGAGCCGCTGACCACACGCTCCTCACTCCGCCTCCGTCG